GAAGAGAAGGCCCAGCTGGCTAAGCATCTTGCAGCAGCCAGAGAAACTTGTTCCGCTCCACTAGACATGAACAGAACATACGAAGACTGGGTTACAGCTGGTATTGGACTCGGACCTCTCTTCAGAAATTTGTCTGATGTGAGGTGCACACCGGACATGTCAAGAGAGGCATATGGAATTGTTACTGTTCCGGATGTGCAGGAAGCTATGCCGAGCAAGTTTTTGCACCCTCATCTCATCCAACCTGCTACTATGGATGCCTTCATGCATCTCTTCATCGTGTCTGTCGTCGACGGGAATAAGCGAAAAACACTTGATCGTGCCATAGTTCCAACTTTGTTGAAGGAGGTTTGGATTTCAGCCAAGATTGGCAAAGCGCCAGGAGAAAGATATGTTGGGCATGGAAAGTCCACACTCTTGGCATACGACAAATTCGAAAGTCAAGTCACCATCTGGGACGAGTCCAGCGAAGAACCTCTCTTCACGGTTAGAGGAATCCGCAGCTCTCCTCTTGACTCGGCCGAGACTACCAAGAAGGAACGAAAGCTGTGTCACAGCGTCATCACCCCTCTTGATCCAGATTTACTCACCAAGGATGCCCTTGATGTGACCGACCTTGAACCTCACGAGAAGGCAATTGCGTACAAAGCTTGGATCGAAAAGTGGCAGCTGGCCACAGTATTAAGAGTCACAGATGCACTTCAGGAGATTCAGGATTCTGGCTTCGACATCAATGCCATCGAAGGCCATTTCGTTCACTACTACGAGTGGATGAAGCAAGTCAAGGCCTGGTTAGACAATGACGAAGTGCGACTCCTAAAACTGAGCAAGTGGCAGGAATACAACGCCGATCAAGCGCTCAAGGAGGCACTTTACGACGAGGTTAACAATGATGGGCCAATGGGAAAGCTCGCCATGCGAATGGGATCCAACATTGTCAAAGTTCTAAAGAAGGAAGCCGACCCCCTTCATCTGATGTTTGGCATTGATGACTTGCTGGACCGCGTATACTCAGACCTTGTGGCTCTTGGTGATCTACCAACATACAACCGTGCCTTCCTCAGTGCAATCAAAGAAAGCTCAACAAATCTTCATATTCTTGAGGTTGGCGCCGGTGTTGGAAGTTCGACCGTGCCGGTGCTCGAAGCTCTCGCACCCCTAGGTGGCGAGCATAAGGGCGCCTTGAGCCTCGATGACTTGCGAATTTCGAAATATACCTTTACTGATGTCTCGGCTAGATTCTTCGACAAAGCAAAGGACAAATTCAAAGCTCACGAATCCATCATGGAATTCAAGACTTTCAACATCGAAACTGGTGGTGATAAACAAGGTCTTGCACTAGGCTCATACGACTACGTATTTGCTGGAAATGTCGTGCATGCTACGCAGGACTTACGAAAGACGCTTTCTAATCTGCAAAAGATGCTGAAGCCCGGTGGTAAACTTGTCCTCCAAGAGGGCGTCAGACACGATGACTTTGGATGGAGCATCGCTTTCGGGCAACTACCAGGATGGTGGCTCGCCGTTGAGCCTGAGAGAAGGTGGAGTCCGTGGATTCCAATCCCCTTGTGGGATACGATGCTGAAAGATGCTGGCTTTGGAGGTGTCGAGCTCAACCTAGCAGATAGGCATGACCCTGACTTGCATTCACAGTCTGTTATCGTGGCACGTGCAGAGAAGGTCGAATCCTCGCCCCAGTGGGAGAAGGTCTTCATCATCAACTCATCTCGGGAGGAGGGCGGTTTTGCTTCAAAATTGCGTGATTACCTCGCTCAAAACCTGAAGCTTGCAGACTGCACAGTGCTTCACTACCTTGATATTACCAGTACAGATGTGAGCCAGAGTGTCTGCCTCTCCATCATAGAGCTAGAGAAGCAAATCCTATCAAGCCCGTCCGAGGAGGAGTTCATTAATATCAGGCAGCTTCTGATAACCAGCGGTGCCTTGCTTTGGGTTACCGGCGATACAGTAGCCCATCCTCATCTCAATATGATCACGGGCCTAATGCGCACGATAAGATGGGAACGTGATATTGAGGAGGCCAATCTCGCAATCCTTTCTATCCAGGAGCCTGCACTGCAAGAAGACCAACTGTTACCCTCTCTGGCTCGGCTCTTCAAGCAGCAATTCATTCAACACCTACCTCAAGAAAAGGCTAACAGTGAATTCATCCTCACTTCTACCGGTAGCTTCCGCACGAACCGTCTGGTCGATGCTGATGCTGCCAACGAGTATTTGACATCTCGTTTGAGAAGTCCACTTCCTATACAGCAGCGCCTTGGCGAGGCAGGTCGCCCATTGAAGCTTGCTACATCATCTCCAGGGCAATTAGACAAGCTCCAATGGGTCACTGACGAGCTGTATGACAAGCCTCTTGGAAACACCGAGGTTGAGATTGATATCAAGGCTGTGGGTCTTAACTTCCGAGACTTGCTTGTGGCTATGGGTGAATACATGGCTACAAGCATGGGATTTGAGGCAACAGGTATGTGGAATCTCTTTTGTTATCCCCTAATCCACAACTAGTTTTCGAATGTTGGCTAATTCTGTAGGTATCGTCACACGAGTTGGGCCCGGGGTGACTCGTATACAACCTGGAGATAGAGTAGCCTTCATGTGCAGTATCGCCGAGGCGGGGTGCTTCCAGACCTACGGCAGAACCGAGGAGAGAACTACCGTCAAGATCCCCGACGGAGTAAGCTTTCAAGCCGCTGCCGGTTTGCTCTGCGTTTACTGTACTGTCATGTATGGCCTGGAAAATGCTGCCGGACTCCAAAAAGGAGAAACCATCCTCATTCATGCAGCAGCCGGAGGTGTTGGCCAAGCGGCGATACATTATGCCAAATATGTTGGCGCAGAGATTTATGCAACTGTGTCCACCCCTGAGAAGCGAGAGGTGAGCCATGGTTCTCATAACAGCTTGATTGTTGGGCAATGTATGTCAGTCATACTAACAAATCTAATAGTTGCTAATCAATGAGTACGGTATCCCCAACGAGCGCATCTTTAGCAGCCGAGATGCGACCTTCGTGAAGGGAATCAAGAGGGCCACAAACAATCGAGGCGTAGACGTTGTTCTCAATTCTCTAGCAGGCGAGGTAAGACACTCAGGTAACGATCATGACCTTCGCATGCTAACTGATCTGTTAGTTATACCGTAGCTCATGGGACCTTGTGGCTCCTTTGGGGCGTTTCGTGGAGATAGGAAAGAAGGACGCTCAGCTTAACGGCCGGGTCAGCCTCGAGCCTTTCCTCCGTAACGTCACGATGACTAGTGTTGAGCTCCCAACCGTTATGCGCCATAAGCCCAACGTTGCGCTTAATCTCATGGAGAGAACGATGCAGCTTTTCAGCGAGGGCCACATTGGAGAGGCAAAGCCTACCAAGGTCATGTCCTTCTCAGAGATATCCGACGGATTCCGAGTACTGCAATCCGGAAAAGGTATCGGCAAAATGGTTTTTGTGCCTCGATCAGATGATCTTTTGCCCATTGTACCGCTCCAGCCTCCTCCATGTGAGCTCATTGCCGATGCCACATACATCCTAGCAGGTGGTCTAGGCGGTATTGGCCGAAGCTTGGCGAGATGGATGGCGGACAAGGGCGCCAAACATCTCGTTTTCCTGTCTCGAAGTGGCCAGATAAAGGGAGATGCAGAGGACATGGTTGCTGAGCTGAAGCAGAAAGGTTGTGAGTCGCATGTCATGAAATGTGACACCAGTGATGCCACGCGGATGAAAGAGGTGCTGGATGAGTGCCAGAGGAATCTTCCTCCTATCAAGGGCTGCATCCAAGGCTCTATGGTCCTCGACGATAGGATGTTTGAGAATATGTCCCATGAGACATACATGACTGCCGTACGGCCTAAGGTTCACGGCTCCTGGAACCTCCATAATCTTTTACCGCGGGATATGGACTTCTTCGTCCTGCTCTCATCAGCTGCAGGCACGATTGGAAACAGATCCCAAGCAAACTACAACGCCGGCAACGTCTTTCAAGATGCCTTGGCAAGACACCGCATAGCCAATAATCTTCCATGCTCTGTTCTCGATCTCGGCACCGTCCTCGGTGTGGGCTACGTTGCCGAGCATCAGAATGCAGACATGATGTCGAAAATTTCCGGTGCGGTACACGAAGCAATCCGTGAAGAGGAGGTCCAGCACTTGGTGGAATATCTCATGGATCCTCGCTCTAAGTTGACGCCTACCACAGGACACCTAGTTTCTGGTGTCACTCCAGCTGCCAACTTCCGCCAGGCGGGCATGCCAGTGCCGACTTATCTTTCGAATCCTATCTTCACTCATCTTCGCGCTGAGAATCATGCCGGGTCAGGAACTTCAGATCGCCCAGGATCCGACGGCATGCTGAAGATACAGGCTCAGCTGGCCAGCGCGACGACGGTGGAAGAAGCAGCCGCCGCCGCGCTGGAAGCTATGCGAACAAAGCTCTCTGCACTCTTAGCGACACCAATCGACAATATCAACCCATCCAAGTCGGTCAGTTCCAATGGAATTGACAGTTTGATTGCAATGGAGTTCCGTACGTTCCTTGTCAAGACCTTGGGGGCCGATATCCCACTCCTGGATATCACAGGAACTGCCAGTGTCACAGCTTTGAGTGTTAAAGTTGCCAGTACCAGTAAGATAACTCAGATTCAGGTTCAGGATTCAAGCAAACCTTGATCAGATGGGAAGTTCTTAAATGCTGGTTCCGGTCAAGTCAAACTGACTTTGAGCTACTAATGGATGGCAAGCTGGGGTCACAGGACGGGTCTGCATTCAATTCTTTACTATAGAATAGCTTAGAAAAGGTCTACGTATGTAGCCGCAGATCGAAATTAGAAACGTATTCCCATCTTACTTCGTAACGCTTCCGACTTTGCTGTTCGACCATTCTAAAAGAAAATTCGATTCTATTAAGCCCGAGGAGTTGAAAGACTCAATAAACAAACTACAAAATTTGAAATAAGAACCAGAAACGCCGACAGTGTCTCTCGCTCTCGCTACCAAGGAGAGTTGACCGTCGTGCACCAAGCACTCTTCCACAACCACTTGTCCTTGCTCCTCGATGCATGACAGTCAGCCTGCATACCAATGCTCTTGATGAGCTTGCTGTTTCCCTTGCAGCCCCAATCATCGTACAGCCAGCATTCACCATCCGTCACGCCGCCCTGGGAAGCGTATGCGGCAGCGGCCTTGAGAGACCCGGAGTTTCCAGGCATGTTGAGGGAGAAGCACTGCGCTTCCTTGTAGGGACCCGTTGATCCACGGCGACCGGTCAAGGGGAACTTGTTCCACCAGGTGAAGGCCTCGCCGGTGGGTTCACCGCAAGTGGGAGACTTGTAGAAGTTGATTTGCAGGCCCATGCCATCTACAGGTGCGGCTGCTGCAGGCTGAGTGACTGCCAGCACTGCTGCGGCGATTGCAGCGAGGTTGTTGGAGATATGCATGGTAACAAATGCGAGTTGTAGAACTGGTTGTTTGTTGATGGTGGTGTATAAACCGGGAGGTACTGGTGTGGTATGCAGAAAAAAGATGGTTGTTTCTTTCTGTGTTCACCTTGAATACCTTTGCCTTTATATAGGATAGAAAAAGTCTCTTTATAAAAATAACAATACAAATAAAAACTCGAGCCTCGGACCTTTCCCAGAGGACAGCCCATCGAGTTTCAGCTCGAGGTACGAGATGCTGAAAACCGTTAGACGCCTCCGCCAATGCAAAGTGAGCAATTCAGGTACGAGGTCCTCAACACAGAAACTCCACCAAGTGCCACCAATAGCGGCTGAGATTGGAAACCCGCATAAGACAGCCGTGGCTTAGCTCTCACCTCGCCAATAAAACTGCAGGCCCAATGGCTGTTGCCAGCTCTCTAGTATGCTTTTCCAGAAGTTGCTTACTGTGGATTTCGACTTCCCGAGTAACAAAAGTGGCTGCAAGCGACGAAAATATCACCATGGCTATGCAAAGCCGCGATCTCCTCTCCACAACCTTGTCCCCTTTCGAGAATCTCCATTTATGCAGTCCATTCGCACAGCACCTGCGAGAAATTGCAGAATTAAATACTCTGACTTGGATATCAGCTTCTCGAAAAACGCTGAGCTCAGCCCTACCGCCAGTCGTTGGCTGAACGATGCCTCATAAGTTTCTTGCAGCTGGACGATTCCATTTACTCTTACTTACTTTACCTGAGTCCTACCGCTTCCTCGTGGACCCCAGGATGGTCGGTCTTCTTTCGAGAACATTTTTTTTACCGACAAAGAATTAGTCACGCTCTTACTAGGAGCACATAGCCTATCATATGTTCATTTTCATCTCAGTTCTCTCAGAAAGCAAAACATTCTCTTCTGAGTTGGATGTTTTACTAGCCTACGTGTGGAATACATCTCCTTACTGCCGTTCTCTATTTTGATTGACGTCGGTTCTAAACCACGCCCTTCAGCAGGGCACTACTAACAACGAAGGATATAGACACTTACGTTAATACAAAGCTATTGGTTGATCGCTATCCCCTTGTCTGTGATTTCACATATGTGATCTTTGCTCTTCCAAGCGGGGCCGCTGGGAGCTAGTTAAGCAGTCGGCACACAGAGGGGAAATTATCTACAGACGGCAGCATGCCATTGATGAAGCCAAGACGAGTTCAAGCAAGAATAGTGTACTGCCATGATACGTAGCAAACCGAGACCATCGTAAGCCGAACGCCAATTTCCGCACCTTAAATATCAAGAGTCCATCTGCCGGCGAAGAAGTATATAACAACACAGATTGCATTCAAACATCAAGATCAAGGACCATCAAAAGGGCTACTCAAGCACTCGCCTCTGACATTTTACATTGACTAAAATCATATATGTTCCAACTTGGCTAAACTCCAACATGACTCGCAGGGGCTACGGTTATCAGGGAGATGTAAACTCCTGCGATGACGACTTCCCCCTTCAACATCATTGCTCCTGTGGCTGTGACGACGAGCCTGTCGATCCTATTGGCGGCAGAGGCAGAGATGATGTCTTCGAGTATTAAGCCAAGAACAGAGGGTTTTGCTGATACAGTGTTGGGGATGTGACAACTCAGATGTCGAAGACCTCAAGAAATATCAGGGAATCGTTGCTGTTATGCGGCGGGCCTTAGTACCAAAGAAATTTGAGTGAACTCTCTTGCTGGAGCCTTGGCTATCGCCAAGGTTGATCTCTCGTTTCTTGACTACAAATTTCACGTCAGCGGGTTCCAAAAAATCAGGCTCAGTCATGGGATTGTATCATTTTTTTCAATTTCGTCGAACCTGATGACCAAGTGAAAGTACTTTTCTAGAAAGATTTTTCGGGACTACATCATAGTTAGGCAATACTATATCATAGGCAATACTATATCAGAGGCAATGCTACACCATGGGTAATATTAAATCATAGGTAATACTAATCATAGGTCATACTGCATCATAGGTAATCAGCACTGTATCTTCGGTGCTGATCGGGTCCTAATTCAAATCCCTACGCCGCATGCTCCAATGTGGCACTTGACACTCACTTGCTATTTTGGGCCTCTCGTTCCCCAAGAAAGCACAGCCAATTACCACATTGAGTACTTATTGGCCGGGAGGATGTGTCAGATGTACCTAGTTTAATGCATCCCACAAATTAGGCTTGGCGATGCTGCTATACTTATCCTCTTACGAATTACTGAGCCTGTGCGCAAGAACTCGTCTCTATGCTTCGGTTAGCATTGACATCTGCATGTATTTAAGATAGTTTGATAGCCCATAACCGAAGACGATCCTTCCTAACAACCAAGCCATCAACAACTGAACCATCTTCAGCTCTCACCATGTTTCTCAAGACTGCCTCCGCGCTATTGCTCTGCGCCTCTGCGCTCCTCTCCGCTGGAGTCGGCGCCCATCCCGAAATTCGAAAGACATCCGGCTGTGGACTATCATACGACTTTGCCGGCGAGTCTCGCGAGGTTACTTTCAAGAGCGGCGGCCGTGATCGCATGTACCGGTTCCATCTACCTTCCAACTACGATCCGCAGAAGGCCTATCCGGTGGTGATGGCCTTCCACGGCCGCACCGGAAGTCCCCAAGGTTTTGAAACAACCACCGGGTTCTCCAACGAGAAAACATACCCAAATATCATCGCGGCCTATCCAGCTGGCGTCAACGTGAGTAAACTTTCCCTTTCGAAGATATCACAACGTCAAACCCATGACGGCAAGAAAACATTTGCTCATCTGACTTCATGACATAGAAAAGCTGGGAGGGTCCATCGTACGCCATCCCCGGCGTGAGCGACCTCCAGTTCACCACCGACCTTGTGAACCGCATGAAGAGCAAGTTCTGCCTCGACGAGGCACGGATCTACGCTGCGGGCCACTCCAACGGCGGGGGCTTCGTCAACACCCTGGCTTGCTCGAACGCGCATGGAAAGCACTTTGCCGCCTTCGCTGGGGCCGCCTCGGCGCTTTACACTGATTTGACTGGTGATGCCAACTGCAAGCCGTATAAATCCCCTCTGCCGATCCTGGAATCGCATGGCACAGCGGACGGAACGGTCCCATACACTGGAGGGAACGGCAAGGGAGGCAAGCTTCCTGCCATTCCAGAGTGGCTATCTCGCTGGGTAGGGAGAAACAAGTGTGTGAACCCTGTTACAACAAAGCTTGCAGACGGAATTACAGAGCAGAGTTGGACATGTGGTGGAATCAAGGGCTTGCAACGTCATATCAAGTATGAGGGACTGGACCACGGTTATCCCGGAGGGAGCTCCAAGGTTCCTATTTCTCCAAGAATGATGGCATTCTTCAATGAGCACAAGAAGTAGTTGGGCTATTGTACTTTTGTAGTCTAGTAGAAGATGGTCCGATCATAGAAGAGGGAAGCCGGGAGTTGAGGGTAATTATCTTCTTCTGGTCGAAGCTCAATCAATCTCATTACATGCACCTGAGCCTAGCGATTACTTATGTATCAGTTTTAAAAGCTTATTGAATAAGTAAAAAGCAGCACCGGAAGATACATGATCAAAGTAGTAGGTTACTACCCCAGCATGTTCAAGTAAAACAAATCTTTATATTCATCGGTTTAATGTTTGTTCAATTCCAACTATACACGCCGGCCTCGTAAGCTCGTAATTCCCATCCCAATCCAATTCTGAAAATGATTCGTATAACCACATGACGGAGTACCCAGGTCTTCGCCCTATTTAATCTCGTTTTGTTGCTCCGCTGCGTAGCCGGGAACGTTCGCCAGCAGCGTGCAGCCTCCGCTGTAGCATATTTGGCCGGCCGGACAGGCCTTGCGGCATGTGGGAACGCGGACCTTGAGCTCATTCACTGAATCTTGGTAGCCGGGCACATTGGCCTTGGGTGTGCATTTCCCTCTGTAGCAGATGCTGCCGTCGAGGCAGGCCATGCGGCAGGTTGGGATTATGGGCTGTCGGGCTTCGAGATTAGAGTCGTCGGGCGTGGGATTGGCCTGGGAGAGGCCAAGAAGGGCGCCAAGGAGGAAAGTCTTGCCGAAGAGCATTTTGGCAATTTTAGTATTTTTTTTCTTTCTTTGCGTAGTTCGTTCGTTCGTTCTGGATTGTTTTCTTGGGCGGTTGGTCAAGAGATGAAGCTGGAGGTAAGATGTGGCAAGTCGCCACGCCACAGTCACGACTCTGACGCAGGCAGTTAATGCCTAATTTCCAAGGCTTCGTACTGAAGAGTCACCCCATGGCGATTAATCCCTGGACGCTTCATCGACGCACGGCCTGTCAGCATTTGGGCGGTGCCACTGCCACCTTCCACTAACGTCGTGGTGGCACACTAAAGGCTGACATCAGGACCGAGGACGATCATCAAATCACGGTGAGTGAGCCGCCACTCAGAATGAAAGTCAAGGGGAGTCATGAGAGCGAAAGGGATTATGCTGTGCCGGTGAACAATCACTACGGCCAGCAGCAAGAGTTGGCGATCAAAAATGCCCGGGCAGAGAGGGAACTGGTAGTGGTCGGAGGGTTTCGAATTGAAACCGCCACTGTGTGACAAACAGGCAGGTAGCATTGATTGGAAAACCAGTTCCCCCTTATCAATAATAAATGTTCTCTGAGCGGATTAGCCGTCTGCCTGTGCTAGGCTACAGCAATTAAACATCAACGCATAGGTCAGTATAGAGCTTAGGTAGCAATGCTTCATCGTCGTGCCACGTAACAAGTGCCAGGGTTGATTACTGCTCTCTATCGGAACTCGCGTCAGGTCAAAAGCTGCGACAATTAAGTTTCCACCAAGGTTAATGTTATCACCGGAAGGTTGAGAACTCGAATTTAAAAAATTAATCCCGTCCTTCAACGGATCAAGGGCGCAAAAAGAAATGAATATCTTGGAGAGGATATCAAAATGACAAAAGTGAAACTCCGGTACTGGGAATCGAACCCAGGGCTGCTCGGTGAGAGCGAGCGATGTTAGCCACTACACCATACCGGATTGTGTAGGAGGGTCAAGATATTGTAACTATACAGTCCGCGCATTACTAGAATCTCCCCGAATTCATTGTTCGTGATGCTATTCTTTACAGTCCCAACATTAACCAGGTCTTAGATATTCAAAATAGGCGGTGGGTTGCTTCAGTGGACCGTGTAGTCAAAGTGTGTGCTGTGGCCTTTCCAAAACTCCTAAATACTGCACATTTGCAGCATGGAATATCATTCAGCCCTCCCTAAATCCTCTATGGAAGGTTAGACACAGACAGTACAGGATAAGACGTAAAGAGCCCAATCAATCTAAACAATAATGGCAATTGGACTAAGCAGTGCTTCCTCCCTCCTATAGCTCTCGGTATCAACCTGGCCAGCAGGAGGCTGTTCGGCACTTTCACTACCTAGGCCGGTCTTCAGCACCTGGAAGAAGGTGAGTCTAAGATCAGAGCTACAACACAGCTTTGGTTTCTCTCTTTTTCGTATTCTTTTCCATGCTCACAATCATGGCAATCTGGTTACCCAGAGAAATCAACTCTCCGTCCTCATCCCTCAAAATGATCTCAAGATCAAATTTGCCATCCTTGATTTGCTTTGACGACACTCGCATCGCCAGCCACTCGACCCCTTCCTCGGGAAGCCGAGTCTTGGCTTCGATATTCATCACAAGCGTCGGCATCCATAGACTGGCTCGCGTATTCTCGGCCTCCGCGCGTGTTTCCTTGGATTCAGCATTGTCGTCAGCCTTTTTCTTAGGCGGCTCCACGAGCTTTCGAAACTCAGGCGACACCAGGAAGGTGTAGGTGTTGTAGGGGAACGAGTCGAACACGTACGGCAGCGCACCCTGCACGATACGCTCACCGCTCGCCAGGCGAATCCAGACATCCATGACCCCGGGAGTAAGAGGGCCTTGTCGCGGTACAAAGAACTGCCAGTTGCGCAAAGAGTGCCACTCCTCGGAGCCCTTAGGCAGAGCTTGTTCCTCCCACACATCATCGCCCCCCTTCGTTTTGAGGCGATCGAAATCGGGCCGGGGAGGCAACGCAGCACCCTCGGTGACCTCGTAGCCCGTAGGCAGAGAAAAGCCATCAAAGTTATTGAGGTCAGCGTGGATTGAATAGGCGAGGATCTTGCGGCTGGAGGACGCAGGATCAATCCAGGGAGCCTCTGAGAGGATCTTGCCCTGCCAGAGCGTGAGATGAAGCCTGGAAATGTTGCCCCCGAGCTTGATGTCCTCGATCTTGATTATTGCAGGGCCTGGGAATGTCCGCTCAGGGTACTCAAAATGCGCCGTTATCATGTCAGGCTGCCCACGCTCAGCGAGGCGGTCCGCCGCAGCTGCAAGCATGCAGGAGCCCGCATAGCCGCCATTGGGCACTTGGGTGTGAATTAGCAGCAGGATCATACGATGCCACAGGGGAAAACATGTAAGCAGCCAATTTCCACTTACCAGCGACGATGCAGAATGCCTTTTCAAGATTCGCCTTGTACGTGTGTGAGTCGAGCTTCTGGATGCGTGCAGCGTCCGAAAATCGGACTGCCGGGACACTTTGAGAAGACATGGTCATTGATTGAGTGAGAGGATAATAACAATTGCCCATAATCAACGGGGAGGGTGGGGTAATGTCAATATGTACTTCAGACAGCCGGGATAAGCCCCTGCAGATGGCATGTGATCATCACCAAAGCATTGACAGTTTTCGGCATTTACAGTGTGTTGAGCCCCGAGTATTCTTACCTGGTATCTTATGATAATTTCAGCCGCTCAGTTAACGCAGAATGAGAAATGCAGCATTCCCCAGTCCTGATTTCTTTACCATAGCCGATTGTTAGAAAGAACAACCTCGCCGGGGACTCGTGATATACCCCAACCATCCATTACGCCAGTAAGGTTTCTGTTACTGCATGAGTCCTCGTATTATGCACAGTGCGGAAGGAAAATGGACATCTTATTCTGCAGCCAAGGACAATTTCCCCACGCACCCAGCCATCTTCTTCCCCGAAATCACTCCACCCGCCCAGATGCCAATTGATATCTCCCATCAGAATGTATTTATACATAGATATCAAGGATGGATGGTGAAGATCATCTATTAGTTGATGTGGATTCCGGGTGGGGTTTCGATCTGAAATTGTTGGTCGGGATCAAATGCCGCTTTTCTCGATGCTGATTAATTGCAAGCTCCAGTCTTCGGACAACCGTTCCGGCGCCATGAGTGAGGCACACAGCTCACGATAAGTGATTTTGTCCTTGAGTCAGGGCAAACCTTTGAGTTAAATATCCTCGACCTACTTACAACAGGTGCTCCAGTTTGTTGACCACTCATCTTAATCTCTGGTCTCCTTTAAATCATCTCTCGACATCTGCTCAGCATGATATCCCGAAACAGGGTCTTTGAGAGGTTAACTCGCCAGTAAACACACGCTCCCCTGCTTTGAGGTCTACTCTGCTCAACAACTAATCCATAAAAATAGCACCAATATTGCCCGGTCGACTTTCCGGCGTCCTCTTTTCGCATCCATGATGCGATATTCCACTTCGGCCAGCGCTGAGGCCACTAAAAAGGCAGAACAAAACTACAAGATTATCCAACAAGTTGGCGACTTTGAAAAGATACAAGCCAGTCGGCCCGCATTCTCCCACGACGAGCCCATCACAACCACCAAGCATCCTGATCCTCAATGGAGCTATGGCCAAGGGGTCAACCGCCAATCTGCCTCTGAGGAAGACGTCAGTCACAAGGAAATCGACCCCTACGCGGATGGTCGGCCCATGGTCAGCAACTACCGCCTCCTGGTGTCGGGCATCGCACCCCGGCCCATTGGCTTTCTTAGCACCGTATCAGGCGACAAGAAGACGAAAAACTTGGCCCCTTTCAGCTACTTCCAGGTCATTGACCACGACCCTCCCATGTTTGTCGTAGGTTTCTCGTCTCGCCCTAGTGGGCCGAAAGATACATATCGCAACCTCAAGGAGACTGGGGAGTGCGTTATCAACACGGTCTCGGAGAACATGATAGAGGCAGTTAATGCTTCATCCATTGATGCGCCATACGGTGTCTCAGAGTGGGAGCTTTCTGGTCTTCATGAAGCCCCAACTACCACCGTTGAGCCATCCCGAGTTCGGGAATCAGTCTTCTCCATTGAGGGAAAAGTGGTCGATATCAAAGAGTTCAACGACCACCAAAAGAGCGGGATGAGCATTGCGAGTTTGGTCCTGATAAAAGCGACGAGGTTCTGGGTACGAGAGGATGCAATCAATGACGAAGCTGACCATATCAGCCTTGAGAAGCTTCGCCCCATTGGTCAACTTGGTGGCATCTCCTACGGCCGCATCAGTTCTACATTCGAGTTACCAAGGACAAGATGGGATGATGAGCATCCTAAGAGCGAGCTTCTGACTGAACTAAACAAGAAGCAAGGTCAATGATCCTGGGGTTAGTCATGGTTTATGGAGATACATTTTCGTGATTAGTACATTATGTAGTGGCAAGCTTCCATCAGCACCATAGAGTATCATAGAGGTATACACAAACCATTTAAGGAATGATGGTACAAAGAGCGTGCAGTTTGAACATTGCTTGAGTCTACAAATTAAAATGCACGAGGCCGAGAGTGTAGACAGGAGAGTAAGGGGTTCAGCGAGGGATGTTACAGTGGACTCGCTGGAGCTACGTGGGTTATAGATTAGAGTTCAACTGTGCATCTGTATTCATCTCTACGTTCTTCCTTCAACAGTTGGGCCTCGAGCATTACTCTTATACACAGGTCCTCTGATAAATAGGACTCCTGTACTTAATCTTTGCTTTTGGCTTATAACTCTAGATTTACCCCTTCTTGGCCTCCTTCGCCTTGGTCTCTCAGACAACCAGTCAGACAACCAGTGTCCTTCAAGCTTGGCACTTGACACCCTCTTACAAGCTGCAGTCGCAATCTCATGTATGTAACCCAGTATGACAACGCATGATGGCACATGGTGGCATCTTACGAGCGCTGAGTAATCACAACAAACTATAAGTTTCCCGTTTCATTTTCGCAGGTCTCAACAAACTCTTCCCCGCTTTCTCAACCGTTCTCCCCCAGCCTCGAAAATGTCAGAGCCCGAGCCATCCGCTGGACATGAGTCCTCTGACCGCCAGGTGTCCAGTCCGATACAACGGCTTCCCCGAGAGCTAGTTGTGGATGTCCTGGAACACCTCAGGCCATCTGGGTCCCTCACCACTGTGGAATCCAACTGTCACTTTCCCGAGGTTGAAAAGACATTCTTCACTTCGAGGTCGTCATTTGCTAGTCTCTGCCTTACTTCGAAATGGATACACTCGCTTGCCATCGGGTACCTCTATCGAACAGTCGTTCTGGCGAGCAACTTGGAGCTGCTACGCTTCTTCCGCACCATCAGCAACAACACCAATCTTCGTTCGATGCTCACTTCTTTTGCCTGGCCCGTGATTCTGGGGATCGACGAAGTCGAGTTCGACGGCTGGGACGTATTTGTTACCGAAGTATATCCTGCTCTCGACCCCGAATGCTGGGCATCGATCGCGTGGGACAATCAAGAAGATGAGAAGAACTACAAGAGGATGGGGCTCAGGAGCTCCAAAGCGGCGTACTGGCAGGTACTGGGGGCGATCTTTGCCACGGCCCCCAATATCAAGTCCATCTTCGTGTTTTACCCGAACCATCGAATTGGCATGATGCCTTGCTATCCCGGGTATGAAATGTTCATGGCGCTCTTCACTCCTCCTGAGGTTCCCGGAACGGCTCTCCAACAGCTGCGGACCATCACACTAGAGCCGTGGCCGGGAAGTCCATCACATTTCATTACGAAAAGCCTGGTTGCGCTACTGCTCAACTCACCGATCCATCGAGTCGAGATAAAATTCCGTCATTGTATGACCGAATTTCAGGAGGCTGCTACAGAATGGGAAATACCTAGTTTCTCTACAGCGTCTGTGAGGGAGCTGTTTCTCATCGATGTTTGGTCCCATCCAGAGGAACTCGTCCTCGTCAAAAAGATATTTCCGAACCTCACATCCCTTGAACTCGATTACGAATCCGACTATACTCCCTTAGAGAAGGGCGCAATCGACGGCTTATCCGAGGGTCTCCTCAGCCTTTCGGGAAGTTTGGAACGGCTGTCTCCCACGAGTTATTCACTTGAGAGACCCAATCCAGAAGGCGCAGAACCAATATTGCCCCATCTAGGAGACATGAGAGTTCTAAAACATCTAACCACAACTTTTTTCTAGCTTTTTAGGACCAAGGATATAAACAAGGAGCTAGAAAGACTCGACACTCTTCCCCCGACGCTCATATCTCTTCGCCTTCTCGATCACAGCCGCCATGATTCCTGGGAAGCTGAGACCGTCTACGACCAAGCTCTCACAAGGCTCGAGGAGAACTGCACACTCCGACTTCGCAACCTCAAGTCCGTGGCATTGGTTTTGGGTGAAAACTACTTTGATAAGAATGTGGCGACCTTGACTGCCAAGTTCACGAAACCATTTGCGCTCCGTGATGTCGAATTCCGTGTCATCACAACTGAGATGTCGAGGGGGGAAACCTTTACATCGTGGGCGAATATCGATTCAGTCAATAAATGACCAGTCGTCGATTGTGCCAAATATCTCTTTCAGGTTTATTTGTTGAAATTTCCATTTGTCTGGACAATCAAAACTGATACCTATTTGTCCATGCCTTCTTTATTAGTTGCAAGTCAGAAGTCTGTCGTTACCGCTATTTAGTATGCAAAATGTAGTCAAAGGGATATGCCGTCGTAGTCTGTTACGCAGGATTAGTCTAACGATAATTCAATACTGTCATTACGAATCCTTGCACACATAAACTGATCTGAGTTCTTTTGTCCGATCATAAGCCTCAGAGAGGACTATTGTCTTCTTCCTACACCGAATCCGCTATTCTGCCGCCGCAATGGAAGGCGTACAAATGTATATTTGGGTCTAACTCCTTTCTTTCCCACTTCTTCACATCTCACAAATCTTGACTTCTATCGATAAATGAGCAACTGTAGGGCAGAAGAAACGAGGTTGAACGGGAGCACTTTCAGCATTAAATAGAATAATGCAGCCACATAACACGGTAGAAATTTACCACTTGGAGGTTATCGACTTCTGAATGTTTGTTATTGATTCTCAGTTATTTGATAATACCAGAGAGTAAGCAGGGCAATGATTGACTGTTTCAATTTCAATGTCACACGTTGATAGCTTGATTTCTGACCTTCCGTAAATACTTGAGCCGAAAAGTGAAATGGCCGGAGGGTATCATCTGCCGTCAGCTAATTATGAGATGAGTGGCAAAGTACTAAAACGGGTGAGAGTCACCAATTCGGCATCTTGATGTTCTATTTATTGACTCGGCACCAGGTGGGAGATCAAGGTCTTGCCGGGTGGGATTCAAGGACCCGGGGCACTCACTACTCTCAGCTCCAAATTTATGCTTACGACTGGATTTACAAGGGTCGAGCAAGTGATTGGGCAAGAATGAAAGTGTCAATCTAATGTATCGCATAAGCCAAGGGAAGAAACGAAGCTGGAACGTTACCCGGACAGGCAATAGATGGTAAGGCAGCCATAATTGCAACATACTATATCCGAGGACGCTGCCATTCATCATAGGATCACCGTCCGATGCATGGTAGGAACAGCTCATCACATATAATTAGAATAACTGCCATATTGTGCTAGAAGCCACGCGAGGTAAACATACATCAAGGAGGGGATCAAAGGCTGATTGATTTATCTCAAACAACGCGTCTAATTAGCTCCTCCACACTATTTTGCGAGGACCAATTGTTCTTGTCCCTTGTCTGTGTGCCTGGAGAGAGGTCTAATAATAGAAACAGCTGGGCAATGTTCCCAAACCTAAGTTCCGATGTTGACCATCCGAGGGCACGACTCCAACCCGGCGATATCCAAATTGAGAAAGTAGCAGCTGGATCAGCTCGCAACGGGCCTTTCTGGGCAGGGTCATGGGGCTATGAAATGGCCAGACGGCAGTCTGTTCGATGGCCGGACACTTGCCGTCAATAGAACGAGAGACATGCACCCATGATGTTGGACTGTGCCGGCTCTCGGTCTTGCATTTCTCCTCGCATAAATGTAACGGCTTACGGAGATTGCTGAAGGATTCGGCCATCACTTCAATCGGTCATTCTTACACCAAAATCCCAAACTTGAGTTCATCGCCCACCGCGGTAGTGGCCGGGAGATGTGGTACTCAATTATGACTTGGCTGTAAAATACCCCGAGAGGCCATAAAAGAAGTCTCATCCCCATCAAGTCTCCAGGGCTGACGGCCGATCATCACGACCCACTCACTCCTCCCCAGTTCTGGTGTCAGGTTCATTCATTCATTATTCAACGATTCCGGTACCAAAAGAGCAAACATGAAGCTCTCACTCCTCCTCAACCTTCTGCCGCTCGCCCTAGCGCTCGAGGACCAGGCTCTTGCGCCAGTACTCGAGCCCAGGGCAGTAAAACAATCCGATTTTGATAACCAGACATACTGGGAGGTTTTAGCCAAGTCTCAGGGACGTAGCCTCTGCTTTCTCAGAACCGGTTACGGCAAAGAGGATGACGCCCTCAAGATCTCCGATGCCCTGAACAAGAAGTGTCGAAAGAAGGGCATGGTGGTCTTCCCCGACAAGGTTTATCACATGAAGTCCAACATCACCACGATGAGGTTGGACGATGTTCACATCCATCAGAAGGGTCGGCTACGGTGGTCTACGGATATTGACTACTGGCTGAGTGTATCCATGCCAATCGGGTTCCAGAACCAGAGCACGGTATGGTACTTTGGCGGAGACAAGGTCGTATGGGACGGATACGGCCACGGAACACTTGATGGCAACGGCCAGGTCTGGTATGATTGGGCGGCGGGCCGGGGAAACCTGCCGCATCGTCCTATGATGATCAACTTCAACAAGTTCACCAACTCCATTGTCCGCGGGATGCGCTTCGTCCAGAGCCAGATGTGGACCATGACAACCACGCACTCGAAGAATCTAGTGTTTGACAATATCTTCGTCAACAACACCTCCAACAGCAAGCACAGCACCCTCAACACCGATGGCATTGACACGATTTGGTCTGATAACATCACGCTCAGCCGGTGGGACGTCACCTCAGGCGATGACAACATTGCCCTCAAAGGAAACTCCAGCAACATCCGGGTTCTCGACAGCATTTTCCGCGGGGGTCAAGGTCTTGCTATTGGCTCTCTAGGCCAATACAAGGGCCAGTATGAGCACATTGAGAACTTTTACGCTCGCAACATCACCATGCTCGGAACCAAGTACGTCATCTATCTGAAGACCTGGCCTGGTGTTCAAGACGGCTACCCCCCCAATGGCGGCGGCGGCGGCCTTGGCCATGGCAAGAACATTGTAGTCGAGGACGTCACGATCGATACCGGTCGGGGTACCCCATTCTGGTTCCAGCAATGTGAGCAATACCAGGGCAACCAGGGCAAGGACTGTGACACTTCCAAGTTCACCTTCTCGGACATTTACTTCAAGAATGTCAAGGGAACGATGAGGAACGACGGTGCTGAGAAGGCAGCCTATCTCCGCTGTAGCTTGGCTGGTGGTTGCAAGAACGTGACCATTGAGGACTTTGGCGTCACGCTCAAGGACGACAAGGCCGTCCTGGACCGTTTCCTGTGCTCCAATCTGAAGGATGCTCACGGTTTCACGTGTCAGGACATCAATTCCTAGAAGAAAGCCACGGAATGCTCAAAGTAGGGAAATTTGGAGAATTAAATACAAGCCCGGTTTTTTTTTACATTGGGCTTGAGAGTTTATAATTTAGCTTCGTCTGTAGACATATTTCGATGTTCCTTTCCCCCACAACGACTCCTTGTGGCTTCTTTCAATACAACATTTTTTTAACTTGCTTCTCATACCATTTTGGCCGCACATCTGGGTGTAAATCATGGACCACAGATCCCTTGAGCCACGGTTTCTTCTCCTGGGACTCGATGCATAGATCCCAGGCTGTCTGGCCCTTGGTTGATAGAAGAGAGGTATCGGCTCCGTATCTGAGAAGCAGCTTCTTTTTGGCTATGTAATCCTCAACTGACATTCGATAATTGGCCGCCGCGTAGACCAGGGTGATGAGAGGTGTGAATCCGGGAGTACTTTTAGCATTGATGAGCTTTCGATCGCCATTTTTGAGAAGCAGCTTCAAGGTCTCTGGGTCGGCGCAGACACTTGCAAAATGTAGGACATTACCGCCATCACAGACATAGTCAGGGAAGATGCTTCTGACCCGCCTCAGATCCCATCTGTACGGAGTGATGGGGTCAATTTCTCCTGTCAGTTGCTTCACCCAGGTCTGCATTTCCGTACTACTTCGTAAATCGGCAGGAAGGGCTGAAGAGGTGAGGATTGGCCCATAGGTATGGCGGAGCTTGATGTCAAGGTCACCATCGAGCTCATCAAATTTTTTAATATCCTTTGGTACGCCATCCAAGAACCAGAGACAACGTTGACATCCGCACCATGCCTCAGCAGAAGCGAGATGATCTTTCTTCTAAAGTCGCGGCACAAGGAGGACCCGATCTTCATCCGAGCCATGGAAAGAAGAGGTGGGCCATAGCGGCCATTCCCAGGAGGGTTGACGTCTAGATTGCCGCTGGACAAGAGAGCTTCAAGACGATCGACTGTTTCTTGACACAGATTGCTCTCCCCATCCCATATGAGGCATTCCAAAGCGTTCTTTGGCATCCATCCGCGGCGAGAGTCGTAGTAATTCACGTCTGCTCCGTGCTGAATGAGTAGCCGAATCACCTTGGCCATCTTCACGTTTCTTTGGGTCATGCAGACATCCATGAGCCTCGTGCGCAAAGCGTGCATCCATCGAGCATTTGGGTCTACGCCCGACTCCAACAGGCTTTTCACAGTCTTGAGTATAGGCTTCGAGTCGAACCCCTCCAATATTTCGGCTGCTGCGAGTATCATGTCCAGCCTTTCTTCATCAGCCACGCCGTGGTTCTGAAATAATATGTCCAAGCCTTGGTTGAGCATGAACAGGGTCAGTTCATCCCACGTCTCATCTCTCCAGACATTCGTGAACTCTGCCAGCAACGCACGCCACAGCCGCCGGGGTCCATCCTTCGTCACATCTTGATCAACAAGAAGTGATAATGTCGCAAAGCTCTCGGCGATGCTGGAAGCTGTAGACCAGTCCACGCGAGATGCGAGCTGAGTAATTGGATTTATAAGTATGACCCAGCTGACCGCGACCGCATCACTCCAACCGCTCCATCCAGATAAACGTGCGAATTCTTTAGGCCATCTGACACCCGTTGCCGTTCGAGCACCTCGACTCAACAACAGGCGGATCATAGCGTCGGGCTTATCCTCACGAGTTGCGAACAGAAGATTGCTCAATAGACAGGGTATGCAGAAATAACTGCCCCATTGGACCATCTTGCCTCCATGGGCGGGGGCGCCATGATCCAGCAGTAAGGTGACCATCTGCAATGCCAAGCTTGGATCAGAACTTTGATGTGTGACGATAGCATGGCTGATTAGAGTTCCAATCCGAGGTGCGGAATCCGAGACATCTAAGCCTGCATCTAAGAGGAGCTTTAAAGTTTCAAGTTGCCCTTTCTGTATAGCGAGATGTCCTGCAGAAAAGCCTTGGGGTGAGAGGGCGTTGGGATCGCAGCTAAGCTCCAAAAAGCAGCGAGTAGCAGATGGCTCAGAGCCAACTAATATTGAGTAGACAAGAGGAGATATCGGTGAAGCTTCAGCATCAGGAATAGAAGCGCCATGTTTTACAAGGGCCTTGATGACTGCCTCGTTTCGAGCAAGATGAAGTGGTCGTAGGAAACCTCCGACGGCGACATCCGGCGAGGCACCAAGCCCAACCAGCAGCTCTATGACTTCGACATTCCCGTACAGAGCAGCTTGGTGCATTGGTGTCATACCCAGCGTCCCTAGTCTTGCCTGTAGCCCCTGTCTAGGCACGCGCTTGTGAAGAAGTGGCGATATCTCCTCTACCGCCGCAACTTTTCTGATGGTATTGGCGTGCCCATGCTTGGCCGCCCAAATCACTATCAAAGCTCTAGAGTGAATACCTGCGTCATCCTCACCGGTCTTAATTTCCTCTCTCTCATCTTCACCCTGTACATCCTCTCTATATGTGGTACAGAGGCTTGCTGCGTATGGCTTTGGCATGTCGTAGAGAACAGGGGTAATATTACGCTCCAAACGTCGACACGTCAGAAGCCATGAGGCCACGTCAGAAGGGTGCAAATGATCCGCGATCAGCCGCAGGACATCGTATGGCAACCGACGCATCGTAAAGCAGTGCCGCAAATACAGCCGCAATATAGAAGATGGCTCGTTTAAGCGGAAGAGAGGCCAAGCGGTGGCTTCAGCCGTGTTGCGAGTGGTGGGTCAATTCTAGGCAGCCGAAGCGGGGATTTCTCGTACGAGGCCATGTCTCACCTCACAGCCTTACCCTTCAAATTAGTAAGGCTGAGGTCCAATCGCAAGTGTGACTTATTGTGATATAATAAGAACCCTTAATGAAGGTATTCCATCCAAATATCGTGTTTCGGCCAACATGCAATGATTGGGTAATTCATTGCTAATATTAGCCCCTCCCCATACATAATAGAGGAACATGAGTAGATAGATTACCCATTTCAGTCGCTGGGTTGATGCCACGTTCATTTACCATTTATCCAATGATTTGTAAGGAAATTTATCATCGTCAAATCAATCAGTTGCTTTCGCTTCTCATCGCCCGATCCGCCCAAGCCAAGTATAAGCCCAACGCCCGGCACGGCGTATAAACAAGGGTCGCTCATACTGAAGTCGATGTCTGATACCTATATTTGCCCACGTAGGGCTGCTTAGAAGATGAACAGTTGCACAGACCAACGTCTAATTACCGCGAGGGAACTAGGAATGGTCCTCCTCTGGTGTTGATCCTCGCCCAAACAGTACGGAACATGCTGAATCGCCTCAATATTCTGGGCTATCCATCGTGCGGCAAATTAGGTACCGCCAAAGAGAGGGTGTCGCATGAACTGATCTTTGGAATTTCCTGTCGCTTCAGCTGAAAGAACACGGACTTGGCATTGTGCCAGCTGGCTCTCACCTTTTCAATTTAATTACTATTAATCACTGCACCTTATCAAGTCGCCAGCCTCAGTCGGCGATACGAAGTCGGTTGCAGAGAGATCATAGCATTGGCCAGGATAGCCAGCTCCGAGAGCGCCAAGCAACTAACAACCAATGTCACAATCTCGTATCACACCCTTCGTCATAATGTAACGAACCGAACGGGTGCTCTCCCCCCCACCTTCCCGTGCCGTAGCTGGAACCCTGGCCACGAGGTCAGCAGTTCCCACACGGGAAGCGGTGCGGCTCTCGATTCTCGCAGGCTTGCTCCCGACACGAAACCCGGAATCGCAAGAAAACGTGGGCTGGTACCAAATGCCAAGGCCAGGGTCGTATACGTAGGTCATTGGGAAAGTGACACGAAGGCAATATTATGGGAAACCTGCCCTCCCTTCCAAATTATTGCTGACAGGGGATTGGCGAGTGTGAGCATGGTGTAGCCAAGAGATCTGCAATTTGCCGTCGCAATCCGGGACCCATGTGTTTTTCCCAAAAGTGCATTAGAGAGGCCGCCGATTGCAACTTGGCAACCAGCCTGGGTTATCTCTGTCCTTTTGGAATCGCCATGATGCTGATAACGCTCGCAATGCACTAGACCTAATTTCACGGTGGCGATCCCAAGGCCTAGAACGAAAGAAAAGGCAGGAGGAGAATATCGAGAGCTCAGAGGCAGGGGACAATAACAGTTATCTATTAGTTAAGATTGGCCGCCCACCCAATTGCACATGTTTTGCTCCGGCTCGAGTGGACTTCCAAGAGCTTCCAGAGAATCTACTACGCTATACGGGGGCTAGATTGGTTGAAAACCCGGCCAAGCTTACCGTGATTAATCAATGGTCATATCGGAACAGCCACTCGGCGCCTCTTGACGGCCCACACCGGCAGGACATTGACGCAATGATTCTACACTTGAGCCTTGTTAGGTTTAGAGCGGATAACATCAAAGTGAGCCTTATGGGGCTGTCAGACAAGCGGCGGTCCGGCCAGATTCGGTGTGTTCTGTGTTCTATGCTGATCACGGTGACATCGAGTTCTTCACACAGCCGGGGAGGTACAGTCTGGTGTTAATAAAGGTGGTATCGTATTTTGGACCGCCATGCATATTTATCTGTCACACGGCATGAGGCCAATATTAGCAACCCGTGCTGGGTCTCGCCGTGCCCGTGAGATTGGGCGAATAGCATCATCTGGATTAACTAGGGCGGGAGGATTGGGTGGCCAGTCGGTACGCTAGGCGTGTGCCAAGAAGCAGAATGAACAAACTCGGTGACAGTAGACCGTTGTATTGTGCCCATAGTGGGAACACATCATTTCGATCCATCGGGGCTATCTCGCAACGGGCATTCCGGTAGAGGGAAGCCCTCGCAAAACCACTCTCACGCCTCCTTTTGCGGCGGCGACGTTGATCTGTTTCCTTATCTTGATTCTGTCCCCCCCCTCCTTTGCGCCCGTTGGTTTTTACCTTTTTCTTCAACACTTTGCGCTGTCTTGTCTGGCCCTATTCACTCGTTTCTTATCCAGGACCAGGCAGCATGCTCCCAAAGTACGAAAAGGAGGCCAACCGCGGGCTCCGGTACGCCCTTAGCCACTCGCGCTTCTACAGAAGCCTCAGCTTGGCCATCGCGGCCTTCTTGTTGATATTTCTGCTGCTCTGGGGCACGCACAGCCCGTCGGTCCACGCGGTCCAAGAAATCGGCAAGTCGGCCATCGCAACCATCAAGCACTCGACTGGGGGATCCCGTCCCGAGGCATGGCGCCCGCATGTCCACCGCATCCCGCCCAAGGTGTGGCAGATCATGCTGCCCAAGGATCCGGCAAACACCAAGGGCATCTTCGACCCCAAGGAGCTGTCGCAGACAGCATCCTGGGTTGCCTTGAATCCAGACTACGAGTAGTACGTGATACCCGACCAACATTCTTCTTCATTGAGCCAACCCACCCCTGTTTGCCCACTCTTTGATGAAGCAATCCCTGCCTGTCAAACCAGTGATCCTCGCTGCACATCAAACACCGGTCAATACTAACGACTAGCTCAACAGCACTCTACTCGGCCAGAAAGGCGCCACCAAATTCCTTAGGCAGCACTTCCGCGACAATCCCAAGGTCCTCGAGACCTTCAACAACCTCCCCAACGTCGGCATGAAGTCCGACTTCCTCCGCTACCTCGTCCTCCTCATCGAGGGCGGCGTCTACACCGACACCGACACCGAGGCCATCAAGCCCATCGACGACTGGGTGCCCGCCGAGTACCGCGGCAGGGCCAGGGCCGTCATCGGCATCGAGTGGGATCGCCAGTTCGACACCCAGTTCCTCGACATCCCCCACTGGCTGCAGTTCGCCCAGTGGACCATCGCCGCCGCGCCGGGCCACCCCATCTTCCGCTCCATGCTCGACCGCATGCTCTTCTCGGCCGGCGAGGTGGCCGAGCGACACGGCCAGCCGCTCAGCCAGGTCAAGCCGTCCGCCATGGACGTCTACAACACCACGGGCCCGGCGGCGTGGACCGACGTCGTGTTCGCGTACCTGCAGACCGTCGAGCCCGGCCTGCGCGACACCAAGGACCTCACGCAGCTGAAGGAGCCGAGGCTGATTGGCGACGTCTTGATCCTGACGATTGACGGGTTCGGGATGGGGCAGGCGCATTCGCTCAGCACGCACGACGGGACTGTTCCTGAGGCTGCGTTGATAAGGCATCATTTCACCGGGAACTGGAGAAGCGGCTGATTTGATCGCATACCTACAACTAATGACTCTTTTTTCTGCTGTATATACTTAGAACACGATAGACTATACGCTTGATGTTAATACGACAACGACCTTAGACGGAGGAAATGAATTTCAGGTGATGTGGCGTAAGAGAGGACGGAGATGGGCGACAAGTCCATTTCAACCCATCATCCGGCGATGGTAATCGCAGGTTCCAGGCCTAAAGAACCGGAGAATATTATTGGGACTCAAGGAGCCAGGCGCGGACTCCCCTGTCTCTCCAATTCTCGTATACACAGAAAGGCTGGCCGATTGACTGGCCCTGTGTTGCGCGGCGGGCGCTTAATATCTCTTGGCTTGATCCTCGATTTGGCGGGCGGCATTCTTTTTTAGATTTTTTTGGCGCCCAGTGTGGGGGACGGATCTGATCGGAGCGCGTCGAGTAAATTGGTTCATCTACCTCTTGAGGCTATTGTCGGCAGGTGTAGAGAGCCATACATTCTGTGTAGACGGGCCGGTCTTGGTTGTTGATACAAAGACTGAAGCGAAGACACCGCCCGCAATCTGGAACAAACTCGGACAGCTTCTCACCTGATCCGTCCACGTGGACCTCGTATCGTTCTCGGACAGACAAGAATACGGATCTGATGCAAAATCAGGTCCCGTACGGCATGACGCAAGCTCTGGAGTAGGTCGGCGTCTAATTCGACACAGTCTCCAGCAATCAGGCCTCCATCGTCTCGTTGCTGGCTGGAGGCGAGCGGCACCAGATGCAGGGTCCAGAACCAGACTGCCGACGGGCATCCACAAACTTCAAGTCGTTTCATCTATGGAAGCCGGGGCATGCGGCAGAGAACAAGGAACATGCTTCGAGCCTAAAAATACCACGTATCCGCGCATGTGGCTGCAATCAGAGCCATGTCGTGGTCTGGCACCGGAGCGATGGTTGGCTCTCAGCGCCCGTGAAGGCGTGTCTCGTCTAGCGCCCGCTGCTCCCTGTAGCCGCCCTGTAACGCCTGTAACGTGCCCCGGGCCAAGGCCTAGGCAGGCCACTGCAGCCACTGACGGGCGGCCCTGAGCCAGTAAATCGGTTTCTGCAGCTGTCTCACAAGGCGCCGGTCCACTGGGCGATTGGCTCTCGCTGCATCTTGCCTCTGGCATTGTCTCAGCATCAACCCACATTCATTCACTCACTCATTCATTCATTCGCAATTCATTCACAACAATGTCTGTCTGCGTTGTCCAACTGCTGTATAAGAGTTCGTCAATGACACCGCCAGAATGAGCCGACAATCCTTTTTTCTCCTCATTCCCACTACATCTCTGCTTCTGCGCCACGGCCATTTCCTTCCGCTTCCTTCTCTCATCCATTGCATTCCTGAGCTGGACTCAACCACCATCTTTCTAACATCTTCATTCCCAACGCTCTTAATATCCAGCCACCGGCCAGTCAACCAGCCACCGCTGCCACCAAAAACCGACCTTAAATATCCTCCATAATCTTCCATCATGGGAAAGTTCTCATCCGCTCTCAAAGCTGGCCAGACCATGGTTGAGCTCACCAACAACGCCAAGGGCATCGCCGGCGCCGCCTCCGAGTTCCGCCAAGCCGACAAGGGCGAGATGGGCCGCCAGGCAGGCCGCGCCGCCTTCAACGAGGGCGCCGACGTGGGCAAGACGGTGGGCAAGACGTGGCTCAAGACCTTCGAGGTCATCCCCCGCCTCGTCTGCCGCGGCCTGCAGTTCCTCTTCGCCCTCATCGCCTGCGGCTTCTACGGCAACCGCGTCGACGCCGACCGCAAGGCCGCCGAGGGCTACTCGGCCGAGTGGATCTTCGCCATCCTCGTCGCCGGCCTGTCCGCCGTCACCGCCCTGACCTTCCTCGCCGTCGCCACCCTGGGCGCCCTGCCCGTCGTCGGCAGCAGGCTCAAGGTGCTCAAGACGTACCGCGCCTTCGCCTGGGACGGCACCCTCTTCATCTGCTGGCTCGTCGTCTTCGGCATCTTTGCCGGCATCTTCCTCAAGCGGGACGGCGACGAGCCCTACAAGGGGGCCAGCACCACCGCCATGAAGACGGCCGTCTGGGTCGACCTCGTCAACGTCATCTTCTGGCTCGTCACGCTCGTCTACGGCGCCATCAAGACCTTCCTGGGCGAGAAGGTCGACTCCCTCTCTGAGAAGGCCGGCAACAAGCTCTTCACGAAGAAGGCCGCGCCCCCCAAGGACAACTACGCTGAGAGTGTCTAGCCCATCTCCTTGTTCTCATCTATACCACCATTTCTTTGTCTATTTTGTTATTTATGGGATGGAGTTAGGTGCAAGTTTTTTTTCGGTATTGGAAACAGGAGCATATATTCGTTTAATGGGAGCAGGAGTTTGGTACATTAGTAAAATACAAACATCATTCAACGTTCACCTTATTTGACACATTTAGGCCCCCATATCAGGCGGTGGTTGGAAAGGCACTTGTGTAAATCAATTCAGCCCTTCCATTTAAATGCCCATTGTCTCAATTCCACCCACTCTTTATTCCCTCGTGCCATTCATCTTGTCAGTGCGTCAAGCCAGAACCCACTGACTGGCCAGACGCTGAGCTCATGTGCTTCACAGCCGCTGGTATGTAGATCACTTCTGAGGCTCCGCCAGCTCACCTTCTGAAACAGGCAGCCAGCTGAAGGACATTCAGGGCCGCAGCACTTTTGTGAATCGAGAAGCCGCCTTTTCCGGTGCCTTGATCATAGCTTCAGTCCCCCATGGCCCCCTTGATTGGGCGTCGCATCCCGCTTTGAAACCTAGCACGATCGGCAGAACCCGCATTTCTGTCATGCATCACCCTCTACACCTCGACACCTGCCTAATTGGCCTGCTTCCCACACTGGCGATGGACTCATTGTCGCTGATCCAGTCATCGGTGAAACGGCACGATTATGCTGATCAGGTTTGATCCCGGCTTGCGGCCTCGATAAATAGCAACATGTGTCTCGACGGTGGCTATGGGCTCATCAGCAGTCTTTCCTCTTGACAATCAACTCATCCATCCTTCATACACCATGGCCTTTACTCAAATCCTCTTCGCATCGACACTTGTTGGCGCCGCCTTTGCCGGCCCCAAGACTTGCTCGAGCGATGTCCCACTCTCCTGCCACAACACCACGGCCGTTGAGGACACCTGCTGCTTCATCCCCTCCGGCCAGCTCCTCCTGACCCAGTTCTGGGACACCGACCCTGCCACGGGGCCTGATGGTAAATCATCCCTCAACAACCCATAACCCTTTGGTCACTTCTAACTTGCATCCCGTAGATTCCTGGACCATCCACGGCCTGTGGCCCGACAACTGCGACGGCACCTACCCCGCCAACTGCGACTCCAGCCGCAAGTACACCAACATCTCCGACATCCTCACCGCGGGCGGGGGCGACGCCACCCTCACCTACATGGAGACCTACTGGAAGGACTACAAGGGCGACGACGAGACCTTCTGGGAGCACGAGTGGAGCAAGCACGGCACCTGCGTGAGCACCCTCGACCCGGACTGCTACAGCGACTACCAGCCCACCGAGGAGGCCGTCGCCTACTTCGGCAAGGCCGTCGAGCTGTTCAAGGCCCTCCCCACGCACGAGTGGCTGTCCGCCGCGGGCATCACGCCCTCGTCGTCCAAGAAGTACGCGCTGGCCGACGTCCAGGCCGCGCTGGAGAAGGGCCACGGCGCGCCCGTCACCGTCAGCTGCGACGGCAAGGCGCTCAATGAGGTGTGGTACCACTACAACGTCAAGGGGTCGCTGCAGTCGGGCGAGTTTGTCGCTGCTGAGCCGGATGGGACCAAGGGGAGCTGTCCGTCGTCTGTTAGCTACCTGCCCAAGAGCGGTAGCAAGTAGAGCAGTTTAGATATCCAATAAATAAGTAGATTGCTGTTCGATCCGAACAAGTACACATCAATTGATGTTAGATGCCGGTTTTTGTGAGGTCCCGCAGCCCCATCGTTTAGGCGTCCAATTGATCCACTTGAAACACTGCAAGGAATATCCGTCAACGTGTCCTTCGAGTAGACAAAGGCCAACTTGGAATAGTAAATGACACCATCGTTGTCAACCCATGTCTAATGCAGTGGTTGGTTGTCGCAGATGTGAAAGGCGAGCGACACCGGACGTGACGTTCTCCGAAGCTTAGCCGCACGCAACCATCGGTGTGATCGTCCACATTCCCTCCAACAACCAATCCATACCAACCTTATCTTCCAAACGAAGAGGAAACCCATTGACCCAAGACACTCGCTTCAGAAACACCCCACGATGATCTCCCTCGTAGCATTCGACCTCGACGGCACGCTCGCCGAGAGCAAGCAGCCCCTCAAAGACGACATGGCCGAAGCCATCGCCGACCTCCTCGCCGTCTCCCACGTCGCAGTCATCTCCGGCGGCGACTGGCCCCAGTTCCAGAAGCAGGTCGCCAGCCGCCTGCCCCCGCGCGCCGACCTCTCCCGGCTCTGGCTCATGCCCACCACCGGCACCAAGCTCTACACCCACCGGACGGGCGAGTGGCGCCGCGAGTACGCCGAGCTCTTCAGCGACGAGGCCAGGGCGCGGATCCTCGCCGCCTTCGACGAGGCCCTCCTGGCGACGGGGTTCACGCCCGAGGAGACGTGGGGGGAGCGCATCGAGGACCGCGGGAGCCAGATCACCTTCTCCGCGCTGGGGCAGCAGGCGCCCGTTAGGGAGAAGGAGGTCTGGGACCCGGACTTTGCGAAGCGGAGGGTCATACAGGTCGATCTGCGTAAGCGGCTGCCGGGGCTGTCGATTAACCTGGGGGGCGCGACGTCGATTGACATCACGCAGGAGGGCGTCGACAAGGGGTATGGGTTGAAGAGGCTGCGGGACGCGAGTGGGATACCGCTCGAGGAGATGATGTTTATCGGTGATGCTATCTTCCCTGGGGGGAACGACTATCCCGCCAAGGAGATTGGTTTGGATACGGTGCGTGTCAAGGACCCTGATGGGACGCTGGCGGCCATTGCTGCCATTGTGGCCTGCCTCAAGAAGTAAAAGAGAAAGAAAAGGGCAGGCAAAGCGTACCGTTGATGTAGCTTTGAGCGTCTTGCATTCTTAAAAACATGCATTCAGGCTTCTCCTTGGTTGTGATTGTAAGCGGGCATGGATTTGCCAGCCGTGTTTCTACGTAGCAACTCTTTGGAGACCATCCTCAGCTGGGGGACCCTGCAGTAACTGCCATTGATAAATTTCCATCACAAAGGAAATTGGCCTTGGTGCTCCCTTGAGGTTTAGATACTCATGTAGTGAGAGCCGTGCTCGCGCTGTGACAGGCATCTGATCAAGCCCTTCACGCCAATGCCAATTGTATCTTGTCTTGGGTCGTTAGTTTCTCGTTGCATGAGGAAGAACGATACTAGTTCAGCTTCGATATAACCTTACGTTGAGTAGTAGTCGCTCTGCCAAGCTGTAATGCGAGCAGTAACATTCGAGCGGGCACAACAAAATAAACGCTACAGAATTATGATTTTTAGACGAACGCTTAAACACAAGAACATGAACGCCAAAGCTATTGTCATCTATCTAATATTTTAGACCTCGGAAGGGTTTGGTTGGCGTGATGGAAGAAAATTGAGAGTTACAGGGTAAGGCAGGGGACTGGTTACCATCGTGAACAGCTCAGACCAGCCACGTAATTAAACGCCCTTGCTCTATCCCTTGTGATTCAGGGGGAAACCCACTGACATGCCTGAGGAATGAAGAATGGCACCAGGCACCAATCGAGGTATAAATTCAGACCGACTCCTCGCTCTTTTCAACTTTTTCTCTTTCTTCTTCATACTTACCTTGTTCCGAATTCCCCAGATCATGAATTGGGGGATTCAGTATGGATAGCCTGCATTGCACAGCGCGGTGTTGTCCTTGCTCCATTGTCCTTCGGGGCCACGGGGGGCGGAATTTTTGATCCTTGACTTGTTTTCATTGTATGCTTGGTCTTGCACCTCGCTATGAAGAAGACGTTACGTTACCTCTGGTGCTGCTGAGTGATCCGCTTGAGGTGTTCAATAAAAATGTGACTGGTCGCAATGGACAAACGCGAACCGCGTTTTAGACGTGTTCTGACGGCCTTCCTGATTGGCTTTCGCGTCTTGCCTGATCCTTGTCAATATGTCTTGCCTGAGGCTTCCACTTCTTTGTCAGCGGCCTCTGTACAAATTGGAAGCGAAATGAGGGGAAATGATGTGCAGTTGCTTTCCTCACCGTCCTCAAGTCTTCGTCTGCCTCCCTTCACTTGAAGGGATCGCGATGAGCTAGGGCACCCGGCTGCTTACTCATCTCTCATCAAGGTTCAAACCAAACCAACAAGCGCTTCGTTGAAGCAAGGGTGCCGTGGAGATGGAGTCTCCATATTCTTCCGACCCTCCGAACTACGAAAAGTGGCCCTGCCCTGAATCCTTGCCAGATCTGGCCTCGGTCTATGAGGAACTTGGCCGTCTTGAGACCCTTGAACAGGCCGCCAACCGGCATCTACGCGATGCAGAGGGGCAAGAAGGCGCCCATCCACACTCGGGCGACGCCTCTCTGCGAAAAGATGAGCCCTCCTTGACCCAGCAGGATGGCTGGAGAGACGTGGCTCAGCGTCTCAAGCAACAGCAGGCAGGCCTTGAATCCAGGGCCGCGTATCTTTCCAGCCGGCCAATCAATGCGTGCCTGAATCTGTCCACGGAAATCCTGCTCATGATCATCAAGTGCTTCGAGTACACGCCAAATTCTGAAGACACGGGCCGTCAAGGCATCATTGCCGAGTTCCCAGAGGAAAATCTCCGCACCATCCAGGCATTACGCCTCACATGTCGCCATTTGAATCTCTTGGCGTCACCGTTTCTCCTGCCCGTGGTCAAACTCTCTGTCAACAACATGTCCCTCGCATTGGCCAATTCGCTCTGTTTTAGGCCTCACATGGCTGCTGGCGTCCACGCGATCCGGATTGGTCTCGGGAACCGCCCCGCAGATTCCGTGACAAACATGTACCCATTCCTGGAACTCAAGGAACCCGACTTTGAGAGCTTGGCAGTCGATTTACGAACAGAAGTCGGGCAGGCTACGCTCTTGCTTGGCCAGGCTCATCAGCGTGGAGAGGTTGAAACCATCCAAAGGCTTGAGATTGCGACCAACAACATGTATGACGCTAATTGTAGAGGAGAGATGATCCGTTCGGCCATGACGAAGCTTAAGAAGGAACTATCAGATGCGTGGAATGGCAGACGGCACTGGCGGCTTCAACGTGAGCGCCGCCGGCGGGTAGATGCTGGCTTAGATATTGATTCAGATGTTGATCCTTTTATGGTGCTAGCTGCTGAAGAGGATTTTGATTCAGATGTTGATCCTCCTGTGCCGACAGATGTTGATCCTCCCGTGTTGACAGATGTTGATCCTGTCAACATGGATCATCTGAGCCGCTACAGACGATTGGTCACGGACGCCCACAAAGAGTATGGTCGGATTCAGAGGGAGCAGCTGGAGTTGCTCCAAACGGGGATATTCGCCAATACGGTTGCTCGCCTCGCAAGCCAGGGAAGACACCCAATCTCTCTTGAGTTCTTTGAAAGTCGAAGATACAGGCCGGGCAATGACCCGAGTACCACGCGCACCCCGTATCGGAGCGTCGAAGCCCTGTTTGATTTTCTCTTAGCTGCACCGGCTTGGGGCAATCTGGCTGATCCCGTCAGCCTCAACGTACTCCTTGATCTACCTATTGCTATCCGCAACACCGGCAGAATTTTGAACGGCTTCCAACTAAGCGTCCCCCCAATGCTACACCAGATTCCCTCGATATATTCTGATGATCAGCCAAACAATGCTTGGCATGGTTTGAGTGCTGCGTCTCAGACGTTTAAGTTTTTCAACTTGGAGAAAAAGGAACTCAAGCGCATTGAGACCGGCGACGAAACCATCGCGGCAGCCGGATTGAGAGGTATCCGCAAATATTTTACTGCCCTGCTGTCTGGCCACTGCTTTGAGGAAGTTTCATTTGACGGCTATGCATATAAGAGGCAGGGGCTCGCGACTTTTGGTAGGCAACTCCCAATAGGACAAGCTTTTGCCAATATTGAGTGGCCGCAAATCAAGACGGTGCGGATTTTTCACGTATCGATGACACAAGCAGAACTTGAAGGCTTCGTCAGAGGTCTAGGGTCGAATCTAGAGGAGATAATACTACACGACGTCGAGATGACAGGAGAGAGTTCATGTTGGATGCGGGCGCTGGACATTTTGAAGGAGAAGGTGGCTAGACGTCCGGAAGGGGCGCTTGGCTTCCACGTTCCTTATATAATTGGCGACGATATCACTATGTTTGTGCAAAGTAGCGATAAGCTTCTGGTCGAGCACTTCGAAAGATCCAAGAAATACACAGCCATGAAGCTCATAGAACGGTATGTCAACAATGACGGCATCAGCGAGCTCCCTCTGCGGGATCACGTCGGCCTTTTACATTTTGATTTTGATACTTTTCCCATGTGGTAAGGGATTCTCGAAGGGTATGAAATGAAGACATGGAAAATTTCGGGAGGCTGGAATATAGGATGACAGGAGAAAGCATAGATATGATTAATGACCATTTGATTTTTCGCCTCATGTTATGTTCACTTCGCTCTTGCATCATGAGATGCCCATCCCTAGATTTTTACCTTTCTGTGGCTGGAGACGTTTTTTTTTTTTTTTTTTTTTTTTTTTTTTGAAAAGTACGGACAAAACTATCATCCTGTTCCTGTTGGAACATTGTCTCTCCTCACCCATCCAATTGAAGATACTGATGCTGATTTGTTGACCTCCGCCCTTATTTTGGCATGCGCCCTTCTTTTGGCATGCGCCCTTGTGTCTTTGTGAATAGGCTATTCAATATAGGTACTTCAAGCAGTTCTGGGGTTTTGATGCAAGCTGCGTGACTGATTGGCGAAATTACGACACTCTGGGCCCTCACAAATAACGCAGGTTAGATTTGTCAGCTTGAGTGAATCATCTAACTTATAAGTTACACCTTCAACATCTGCTGGGTTGACCCAAACAGCCGTGCAAGAATATTTCCCCAAACCAGCCTCTATCCTCCACATTGAGCACACGCCAGGCATCGCCATGTGTCAGTCAAGTGCATCTCAGGGTCCTGCCACTGCCACTGCCAACCAGCTAGACCCTGCGGTGCTGCAACTCGTCCCTGACCACCCAGCCGCCAAATCAGCGCTGGACGTTGCTCTCCAGTCCCTGCCGCCCGCGATACTAAACCACAGTTTCCGGACATACATCTACGCCAAGGCACACTCGTCTCTCCTCCGACAGCTCGACCCGGCCGCCGTGCTCATCGAGCCCGTCTTCGTCGAGCTCCACACGCTCTTCGTGGCCTGCCTCTTCCACGATCTCGCCACGGCGGAAAAGTACGACGCGGATCCTGCCCGTTTTGAGGTGGTCGGCGCCAGCGAGGCAGCCAAGGTGCTGCGCGAATCCCATGTGAGCGAGGCGTCCATACGCGAAGCCTGGCTGGCCATGTCCCTCCACTCGACGTCGGGAATAGCAGAGGAGATGAGCGGCACGACTGGAGCCCTTCGCCGTGCCATTGCGACCGAGTTCAGGGGCGTGCCCAGTCCGGAATCTATCCTGGATGGGAAGGAGCTCGAGGTTATTGGGAAACTCCCGCGCCTGGATATCGAGAAGGTTCTTGGCGATGCGGTTGTCCGACAGGCGCTCGAGAATCGGGTCAAAGCACCAGCGGCGACTTGGCCAGGCCAGCTGCTCATCTCACACGACAATAACCCTGGCTGGGATGGGGTGAATAAAGCATTCTAGAGAGGCGTAGGTGTGTGCAGTTATTGTCCATCATAGATCTAGGTTGAAGCGTAAGCAGGGAAGTGAAGAAAGTACAAGGGAACTCATTTGCATCTGGTCTATTAAGAATGATTATGTGAAGCATTATGATGGCGGCGCCATAACCAGCCATCGGCCATTCCAACCCTCAAACTCCTTCTCGATGAGCCCCTTTGTCTTCTCCCACGGCACTCGAAAAGCACCCGAATTGAACATCGGCGAGTACATGACCATGCGACTCTGCTGATCGATATTGGTTTCGGCCCCAAGCTGTCCTCTCAAATCTGTTAGAGCTTTCTCCGTCTGGCGCAAGATCATCCCCATGCTGTCCTTTCCTGGCTTTCCTGTCGTTGTATTCGGTCTTCCATAGCCATAGCTAGTGAAAAGACAAACGATGTATATGCTTGGCGCGCCTGCTGCCACATCTTCCGACTGTGGTGGGATGATGAGGCAGCGTCCCCCCAGGGAGCGGGGTGGCCACCTCTCCGAGGTGTCGGTTTTGGCTGCGTTGCAAAACTTCTTGTACTCTTTACACGCTGCTGGAAAGACTGTGGCAAGCTCGGCTGCGATGCCGGCTCCCCATTCCGCGATGCAGTTGGTGGCATGGATCAGGTAGGCGTCTGAAGGGAGAGACCGAATTGCACTGAGAGCCGTTTGCTCCAGGGAGAAAACGTGCGAAGCCATCACGGGCTGTGTGTGATTTTTCTTGTTTCAATTTGATTCAAGAGATTCATTGATTTTCTTTCGCAGGGCCGCTTGTTTCTCTGGGTAGGACGAGATGCTATTTAAGTCGTGTTTCGTGTTTCCCTAGGCGATGACTCACCGGCGAAGTGATGGGAAGAGATGCACGTTTCTTATTAGTCTTTATTAGCTCATGATCTTAAGACTAAAACTGGATTAGAGCAATATTTAGCTCCTCGATTGAGGCATTGCTCGATAATTTAATACCTAAATGCATCTATAGAGTCTAATAAAGCTTCCCTAAATATGCTCCGTGAAAGGGTCAGATTTTCTCCAAATCGCTTTATAATACATGGTTCGGGTGATTCGTCCATGATCCAGTGTCTTATTTATTTCTCACAACAATCCCTTGGAGTGTTGAGCTGGAATTTCAGATTTAGAACAAAGGCTCCGCATAGAGCGAGCAATATAATCATATGATCGAGATAATACTCTCGTCTATACCGTCCTTCTTTGTACCTGTCTTTTCTATATAGTCCCCATCCTTCAGCGGGAGTAGTCTGTGCCTGAGTTTGTGTAAAATCTTCAGTGATTCCATTTGTAACTTCATGTTTATATCTCGGGCATTGAAAAACCCAATCCTTCGGTACTCGCCCGGGTCTTTGTTTGTTGGCTCAAGTATCAGACCAGATAGCGTAGTCTTGCTCTGTGTTCTCAGCGGCAAGAAGAAGAGGGATTCTATTGGAGGCAATTTGGTGTTCTCCTCATCCCAGATGAGTTCAAACCTATATGAGACACGTCTTTTGGTGGCACTGAGGCGGAAAGGGAATCCCTTCAAGCGGAGGCAGCCACCTGTGACGCGACCCATCATGTCCTCTCCCGCAAACTGCATCTGTGCTCCAGCAAAAGACACAAAAGGTGTGCAGATGCTGCGGACGCGGTAGAGGTTGGCACCGACTAGAAAATCTCTGATCCCCCTCTTGGCGGTCCAGAGTCTGCCCCGTATCAACCCCCCGGCATAGGAGAGCTTTGCTTGTTCGTCCAAATCATGGTCATCCCAAATGTCACCATATGTGACAGAGCCATTCATAGATGCCCATGACCACGACGGGCCAATGTAGGCCGCATGTCTCTTAACATGCTGGCCTGGCCTCCACAGGAGATGTTTGGCGATGTCGTCGCGCCAGAGACCAGCGAAGTAGTCGGCGGGATTTCCAAATGCTCTCCCTATCCCGGACAGAGCGACCAACCTGTCTTTTTCTGGATAGGTCAAATCGCAGCTAGAGTACTCTTCTACGACCGACTCCCATCGAAGCACGTCGGAGAGGCGGTTCGTCTCGCAGTTTTCCGAAAGCATGTACGTTGGCATCTGGCCGATCTTGTTCTTGTACGAGAGCCCGATCCACTGAGTTGGACAGGCTTCGCAGGCACGAAGGCAGAGACAATCCCAGTATATCTGGTCCGACCCAAAATACAGCACTCGTGGCGCCAGAAGAGTTTCCTGGAAAACCCATCCGCGCTCTCCCAGCTCACAGCCGTACACGTTCTCCCCAAACTGGGTCATCATGTCGTGCACATGGAATGTGAACTGTGGGCTTGTGTTCTTCCAGGTCTCCTTTACGATGCATGATTGCGCCGCGAAGGGATCTCTGGCTGCAAATAATCCACCACCGCCATTGGATGCCTTGGACGCGGCGAGGTTGCAAATCGAGTTCGAATAATATACTCCCATCTTCTGGGACTCCTTGGACCAATCGTCAACAGAGTCTTGGATGATGCAAAGGCTGTCAATCCAGATGTATTGGTACCCCAAGCAACGGGTCGCATGCATAGCGTCGACGAAAGTGGGAGTCAGTGCCGCATCTGGTAGTCTCTTTTGGAAGGCCTCTAGGTTGGAAGACTTCAATGAAAGAAACTTTTCCGTTCCCCAACGGTGCGAAAGAGTTGTGTAACATGTATGCTCTGGGAGCGTACTCCCTTCAACAATTCGGGGAGGAATATTTCGGCCTTCACCTACGTACACGAGCCTCATCGGATGCTGTGCTCCTAGACTCTTGGTCAACTGACACATATCGTGCCGTTCAACGCAGTTTTTGATCCAGCATCGAGCGATTGCCCAGGTGGATGAAGAGTTTGTATTGACCGACCAGCCGTCGAATACAGGATCTGATTGGACCATTGACTGGTATGTTTCCAAAAACTCGGGATCTATAAGCGTCTGCCTCCGGTGGAAGGTTGTCGAGTCTTCTTCCGTCTCGATTTGACATGGAGGAAACTGGCTGTACTTTAGGTTGCTCGCCGTCACAACTGGATGCTCCATTGCGCTCTCCATGAAACCTGGTGCCTCGACCGGAACAATCGGTTCTCCCTTGTACACCTGCGACAAGCTCAGCTCATGGCTGACAACGACCTCTGCAGAGTCCAATATTTCCTCCTCTGGTGGCATGAAGCTATACGAGAAGACGAGGGAAAAGAAGTCCCCCCGCGTTTTCCCTGGAACAATGAGGTATCTCAGAACTAGTTCAGATGGGAACTCAAAGCCATCTCTGATACGTTTTCGGTCTCGCAAGAAGCAAAGATGACAGCCTTGACTGATCGTAGGGTCACCTGAACCATAGAGCTTGTAGGTTCCAGAATAGCTGGATTTATCGTCTTCCCCATCCTGCCTTTCCCTACTCCCGAGAACCAATTCGCCCTCGAAAATTGCCTGGCAATTAGTACATAGACTGGACTGTTTGTCATCATTCGTCTTGCTGAAAGTAGGTTGTGGTTCACCTGCTGAGCGTTTCACTGCTACAGTGTGAGTATCGGCCATGTTGAATGGAGCCTTTGAGTGTTGCTGGAGCTTATGACAAAAGGCATGTGGAAAGTTTCTTTAGGCTCAGTCTCTTCCAAGCAAAGATTTGACGAAAGATCAATCCAGCAACTGGGGACAATCAGGCGGTTTCGTGAGGAGTGCGGCTGAGGAAGACCTGGTCGGCATAGCCCCCGCCAAGGATTGATCCCTGCAATTGGGTCAACTTCCAGAAATGATTGGACAGAGCCTTCCGCAATGTCTGCATTAGATTGATTGCCATAATGGCCCTGCCACTCGCGAGGCAGATCGCTGTCACCTCTGTGGTGTAAATGCAGCCCACTAGGTGCGTGAATCTAAGACCATGGAGCATCCCTTGCAATTAGCATGGAGCTTCTCCCAAGGGTCTTTCAGGCGATTGCCAGTGCTAACCTGGGAAATACCGTTCGAGTCAACTTGGGCCTGATTCAAGACAAAGGTTGGAAGTGATAAAGCTAAAGCAACCGCAAAGGTTATCTTCAGAATGATACTAGCGCGGCTGAATGATTGAACACATGTATCTTGATAGTATATATTCGGCAACTAATCTCAAAATAAATGTGATCTCGCAGTTCTATCCAGGCCCGTTTCATGTTTCTTGCTCATGCTTCTAGGTTACTGATTGGCGTGCACCTTCCAGGTGTTCTCCAGCATTTCTTTGACGGTCAGCATTTTGATGTCTGGAAACTGAGTGGTAATAGTCTTCTCATGTGGTAAATTGAACTCTCCAGCGGCCATCAAATTCTCCAAGATAGCATAGAGACCTTGGAGGTGCTCTTTTGGGAAGAACATGTATGCTGGTACATGACAGGGTAATTCAGTGATCTGGCCTTTTCCTAGTTTCTCTAAATCGTCGTGATAGACTTCGAACTTCGTGCCTAATTTGTCAAACATGTTTAGCGATCGGTCGTTTTTCTGCTGGCTACTGCTCTGACTGACCCTTTGCGTCTTCGGCTATTTTCAGGAACTCATTCCACGTGAGCTTATCGCCAACGATGAAGGTGGTCTCTTGCCATTGAGGCAGATCAAGCAACCTCGCAACAACTTTGGCGACGTCAAGCGAATAAGAGAAGGCTACTGGTTCGTCACCTGAGCCTGGAATGGCTGCGACGTTATTTTTCATGTCAATCACCGGAGACATTGGAGTTAGGTGCGTCTCGATGAAAGGCATGCCCCAGAAGTCAGCAAAGTAACCAGGAGCAATCTCAGTCCACTCTAGACTGGTGGTCCGGAGAAGGCCCAACGCTTTTCGCTGAAACACAGCCCACGGATTCAGAGGATTTTTGGATCTGGAAAGTCGACTACTCAGCAATTTACATGAAAAAAATAGTAATCCCTAGCCTTTGGATAGATCAGGAACTTACGAATCGGCGTTTGGTAAGCTCCAGTTGCTCGGTATGAACCGCTTCGTGTATTTGGATTTGTCGGCGGCACGAATGACGGCTGCTTCCACCTGCGCCAAGTTCTCATCATGAACGCCGAGGCAGGATATGACGGTGTCGACTTGGTGCGCCTCCAAGGCTGATGTCAAAGATTTGTCGTCGTCATATTGAACCAGGACAGTGGGTGCCTCTGGGTCAACCGTGGACGAAGCCTACACATTTCGAGTCAGGAATCGAGATGAGCGGTTATAGCTGTGAGGGAACCTGACCTTTCGACTGAGGATAATAACTGAATGACTGGGATGCTCTTTGATGGCGTCCACAATGGTTTTCCCCACATGACCGGAGCCTCCTAGAACAGCTACAGTAACCATTGTAACTCATAAATTTGGGTAGAAACCTAAGAGCGTGGTTCGACTACCCACGGCTAACCAGTTGCAAGTTGGTCCTTATATTTGTAGTACCTTCTGGCTTCTCTCTCTCGTTATTAACGAGTGGGGTGGAAAGCCTGGAATATCCCATCTTCCCAAAACTGGCTTGGTGACATCTTGCCTAGCCCCCGAAGGCCGAATCCAACGCGCCGTTTATGGCCAGCTCGGACATGTAGCGATGCCGAGGAATGTCACGGCTTAGAAATCCTTCACCGCTACGGAACCCGCGCGTTCCTTCAACGAGGTCCAGACGCAAGCTATACTCTCAGACTAACATCTCCGATACACGCATTGACTCCAACTACATGTCAATTAGTCTTAGGTCCCTGCCCTGCAAACCTAATCCCTAGCTAAACTATATCCTATTTAAGCATATAACAAAGCCTGTAGTAGAGATCCATGTACACTGATATTGTTTAGGTAGGTAGTAAGGATTAATATACAAATTCTAGTAATTTGATTACCATGATGGTCCTGCCACTCGCGAGATAGATCACTGCCGCCTCTGTGGTGGAAATACAGTTGACTAGGTGTCTGAATCATCTAGGATTCTCTTCGTTGTTCGCTAGAGAGGCGTGAGAAACTGATGTAGTGCGCGACGAAGACAAAGGAATTAAGGTTGCGAAGACCAAAAGCTTCCACTGGTAGAAAATGTTAATGAGGCGCGCCTTTAGTCCATTTAATCGGTACCTGCGTTAACTATGGTGACGGCTTGGCATGACACATGCACAAGAATGGCATCATCCAGCGCTCTATAACGTGATATTGTTGGTGATAGCATAGTATCTAGGATTGGTCAAAGATGGGACGTGATAACCCTCTTTGACCCATGGCATGAACAATTCTGTCCGGTGCATGATTTGGAGATCAACCACAGTTCGATCCCAGAACTGGCCCTGAACAACACGTCGTAGCGAGCAAGAGGCATTTATCCAAATGAAACTTACGAATAATGGAGACTAAAGTGATGAAACTGTGGTAGAAAGGATTAAAAAAAGAGTCGGCGGAAATAGTTGGTAGGAAGATCAATGGGCTATCAATGTAGGATCTTATGGTTTCTTTCCGAAATATTTGGTATCTTCGGTTCAAGACGGGAGGAGATGTAGTACATACTATTCGGTGATGCAAGTACAAATCACTCAGATTTATTTAGGCATTATCTTGTTTTATTGAGCATCAACTCTCTACTAGCAGTCGCTGCATTATTTTTGCCTGGAAAGATCGACGAGGGCTCGGGGAAAATCCTCCCAGTCCGCAATCTGCCGGGATAAGCTGTTAATAAAACGATTTTTCGTTGCTGATTTAAAATCTTAAGCGCTACTCAATCATGAAAGAGGCTAAAATTTCTGTTACCAGGCGCGGGGCTCATTAACTTCCCAATATTGTGTTATCAGAATGTCAAGATATTGATCTTAGAAACAGCTTCATACTAATTACCTGCTTTTTGACAGCCTTACTGAGCTTGCAAGGGGTCAAATAAAGCCTTGTCGCTGTATCTTGGCCTAAGCTTGATGAAGGAGGAGGGCTCGTGCGCTACCTTGTCGTGATCCTTGACCCCAGACTGTGCACGATCAACGCCAATTGCTTGCTGGATCCTGCAGACGACGTGATGATTAAATATTCAGTGAGGTCTGGGAACATCTGGAGCAACGAGGTTTCGCATTTTGATAGACCAAAGTACAATAAGGGAAGGAAGTTAGTGGTCGGCTTGTATACGGACGGACATTTGCAATCAATATTTGGCGACTTGATTACAAATTAATAATTAAAGTAAGTGGTCTCCGTCATCTGTTCTATGTCAGAAAGAGTATCATTTTGCAATTAATTTGTCGCGTACATGAATATGTCGCGTATCCGGATTGTTCGGAAACGGAGAAGGATCAATTCACTCCCTTCTCGTTACTGCCTCAAGAATAAACAGGATAAAGACAATGAGGGACGGTATTGCCCGCAGCAATTAAATCAGAAAGCATGACCAATTAATGTCCCCCAGAAACCAAGTTCTAAACCTGGACAGTTGGCCGCGTCGTCTTATTTGGAGACAAATGACCAGTAGCTCGTTGCTTGATGCAATACAAGGCAGATCCTTGCCTGCGCGATAAGAATGATTGTGCTCATGATCGGTTGTTTCCTCGAAGCTCATCTAATTTTGGAACCCCCTGGAGTCACTGAATATGGATGAAGCTGAAAGCAGAATCCTCTTGTCTCATCTCCCTAAATCTGGACTTGGAGCCTGCCATCCCCATAGTGACCGAGCTATGCTCTGTCGAGTAGTGTCGTATAAGGCAGCGATGCAGGGAGAAACTACACGTACCGGCATATGGATATTATTAGAAAGTGGTGTTATTGGCCTACTGCAGAGCACGCCAATCAAAATGTATCTGACATGCAGTGATGGTGATAGTGGACACTTGATGCATACTCATTACAAAGCAATCTTCTTCTTGTTTCGTATTCCTGTCGGCGACGGCATATCGTAGCGTATTGGAGCTAATCCAGATCAATGTAGGTCACTGCGTCAAGAAGAATCCATCGTAATTTCTTTCGACCAGTTCCAGCTGAGCCATGAGGCGGCGTACCGTTGAGAAGAACGTGTCGTATTCCTCACACATAGTAATCACTGCGCCGCTCTAATGCATGCAGGTTGTGCAGCTCCGGTGAGTGAGGCACAGGTGTCAGCAATGACGAAAACATGGCCTGTTCCATCCATTTCTCCGGCGGGACGGACTCTGCGGAGTGACATATCCTGCTCCAATAAGCGACCGTTTGGCAAAAGGCAGAATGGTCGCGCGACCACAACGAAAGCCTTGCAGGGATGACCCCCTCGTCTCTTGCGGGGGGATAAATTGATCCTTGCTGGCGGGTGGCTTGTGCTGACGGGAGAGATCGGCACCTGGAGGGATCGGACATTGTGGAATTAGATCGACACCACGAAGTCGAAGCATAACATTGAAGGATTCATCGAGTCAGCCCTGGCCAGATGGGCCTTTGCCATGCTGGCTGTTCCAGTGAGAGAGCCCAAACCAACTCTTCGCTGCCACTACCTGTGCCAAGTCCGCCGAGTCTGGTAGCTTTTGAGAATCGAATTAGACCAGGAATAATATGGGTTACATGGCTATAAATGCACTCATGCATGGCAATACCGCTGCTTGTACGCGCTATGCATCAATAGTGCGCCTAACCGGTCCAATAAAAAGGACGCCATCCAGGTATGTATGTACTGCCGAGCGTTAGATTACAACACGGGAGAATACCATATGCAGAGTAAGCTCAGCTGGCCGGATGAAGTGATGTATCAGTTGTACCTGTGGCTAGCCACGCGTACGTAGCCGGAAGACTAATACATACATGCTGCGCCGTCTAATAATAACAATTACTCCAACGGTATCACAGGCAATGCCGGTAGTTCTCGTGCCGAGAGGAACTTACGCTGTGCTTTCTGCGATAGTAAGATCCCCTTTAGGACTTTTGTGCTGGCCCTGACTGCCTGCCAGCGTCCACACTCGCCGTATTTCCATGTCCCTGACGACATTTCTGCAACATGGATAACGGCCTCTGGACCTGGCCACCATCCTGTGTCCGACGTATCCCGGGAACGCAGGATTTCTGAGTAAGGCTTGGACTCTATCACCAGAAGATGCCGGCATGTGGTCGGGGGATCGAGATTTCATGCGCGAGTAATAGTAATCTAGGGGTGAGCCTACAGATATAAAGGACGCCTCTGCCTCGCTCTGTCAAGGAATTTTTCTTAGCACACAACAACAATCTCTTCATTGATTTCCTTCTTCCATACCCTGGTGGTATTTCCTTTTGTTCTTTTTCCTTTCTTCTGTCTTGCATTTGTTACCGCCGGTTCGGTAGCTATTCACAGGTCATTATTTCACAACTTTGATACAAATTCTCTATCTTCTTTTTTTATTCTTTTCTATTCAAGCTTCAAAACCCACCCATTTCAATACTTCAAAATGCATCACCTCACCTTCCTCTTCGCAGCTGGCCTCATCAGCACCATTTCTGCCGCACCTCTTCCCGCCGCCAACGATGCTCTCCTTGACTTCCAGGAACGTTCCGGCTACGCCGATGACGATGCCTTCGCACAGGTAGCCAGAAGTCTTGATGCATTGGATCGGGATCTCCAGGAACGTGGTCTTTTTAGCAAGACACCCAAGCCCTTCAACCCTGAGAAGACCCCCAACAAGCTTAAGAAGGCTCAGCCTATCCCCAAGGTTCCAAACAAACAGCCCAAGACTGCCAATACACTCAAGAAGGAAAAGAAGGGACCCAAGCCAAACCCATCCGTTAATTTCCGAAGCTATGAGCCTGAGCTTGATGAACGCGATGAGGACCTTGAGGAGCGTGATGAGGATTTCCTCGAGGAACGTGGCATCTTCAGCAAGACCCCTAAGCCGTTCAACCCTGAGAAGACTCCCAACAAGCTGAAGAAGGCCCAGCCAATTCCCAAGGTGCCCAACAAGCAGCCGAAAACTTCCAACACGCTGAAGAAGGAGAAGAAGGGCCCTAAGCCAAACCCCTCCGTGAACTTCCGCAGCTACGAGTCTGAGCTGGAAGAGCGTGGGCTGTTCAGCAAGACTGCCAAGCCCTTCAACCCCGAGAAGACGCCCAATAAGCTCAAGAAGGCACAGCCAATCCCCAAAGTCCCAAACAAGCAGCCCAAGACCTCCAACACGCTCAAGAAGGAAAAGAAGGGACCCAAGCCAAACCCTTCTGTCAACTTCCGCAGCTATGAACCCGAGCTGGACGAGCGTGACGAGGATTTCCTCGAGGAGCGCGATGACGAATTCCTTGACGAACGGGATGAGGAGTTCCTTGACGAGCGCGACGAGGATTTTCTCGAGGAGCGTGATGAGGATTTCCTCGACGAGCGTGACGAAGACTTGATCGAGGAGCGCGGCCTCTTCAGCAAGACACCCAAGCCGTTCAACCCCGAGAAGACACCAAACAAGCTTAAGAAGGCTCAACCCATTCCCAAGGTGCCTAACAAGCAGCCAAAGACCTCCAACACCCTCACAAAGGAGAAGAAGCAGGGCAAGAAGAACCCTGCCACTAACTTCTAATTGAGGCTGGGTTTATTGCCGGACAACAAAGTATGGAAACGGAGCTTGAATGAATAGAATAGCATAGAGAAATATCTTAATGAATAATGACTTTTTTTTATAATATTCGCTGATGACCTGGTGAAGCACAACGTTTCGTTGTATTTCTTTCTGATTGGATGCTAGTGCAATACTTTACATATACCCGAAGATAACTGATTATGTCGAGGTGATGAGACGCGACATGGAAGAAACTGTTTTTACGGCTACATAAGCACCTCGCTACTGGTTAACAGCAGAGCAGCGGCCCCTGAGCGACTTCCATTCTACTTTCTCTTTAGCTCACTACAAACCTTACAGCAAGCCAAGGACGATTCATAACAATAGGGTTCGCTATAATATACTTAAGTAGGAGATTTTGAAAGAGCATGTGGAAAAATAAAAACAGATGTAGCAACTCTCTAAAATACGAAATAAGCTATTTTAGTCAACAAAGATCGATCTCTAGGCCCCTTAATCACTAAATCATGTCTAATAGCCTGCTGTTTTACTGTCTAGTTCAGGATTTGTCCTTGTAACTTTTAATAATTTGGTCCACTCTGACATCCTGGAGCTTCTCTGTCACGTCATCCCTTTGCGCCTGGAAATGACCCTTTTGCTTCTGATCAACTGGTACTAGCTGGCCCACTGGTAAGGTCCAGTATTTTGCATTGTGACGAGTATCTTTCGCTTCAGGCGCTGCAGGTGGTTCAGGCGCTGCAGGTGGTTCAGGCGCTGCAGGTGGTTCAGGCGCTGCAGGTGGTTCATGCGCTGCAGGTGGTGCAGCTGCAGGTACGCCCTTGTAATTCTGAAAGCCTATCGGTGGAATAAACGATGGACCACTTGCTGGTGCAGGTGGTGCAGCTGCTACGCCCTTGTAATTCTGAAAGCATATCGGTGGAGTAAACGATTTGCCACCCGTTAGCTCGCACTTTGCGCCGTCTTTATCGTCAGGTCCTCGACGGCAGATGGCTCCCTTTCCCATGGGATTAGCGGCGGATTTAGGCCGATTGGCCGCCTTGGTATTAGGATGGCCGGTTGCCTTCTGCTTGGGATGATGGGCAGGTACCTTCTGCTGCTTGGGATGACGGGAAGGAACCTTCTGCTGCTTGGGATGACGAGCAGGTACCTTCTGCTGCTTGGGATGACGGGCAGGTACCTTCTGCTGCTTGGGATGACGGGCAGGTGCCTTCTGCTGCTTAGGATGACGGGCAGGTACCTTCTGCTTGGGACGGGCAGGTGCCTTCTGCTGCTTGGGACGATGGGCAGGTGCCTTCTGCTTGGGACGGACAGGTGCCTTCTGCTTGGGACGATGAGCAGGTACCTTCTGCTGCTTGGGATGATGGGTAGGTGCCTTCTGCTTGGGACGGGCAGGTGCCTTCTGCTGCTTGGGACGATGGGCAGGTGCCTTCTGCTTGGGACGACGGGCAGGTGCCTTATGCTTGGGACGGGCAGGTGCCTTCTGCTGCTTGGGACGATGGGCAGGTGCCTTCTGCTTAGGATGATGGGCAGGTGCCTTCTGCTTAGGATGATGGGCAGGTGCCTTCTGCTTGGGACGGGCAGGTGCCTTCTGCTGCTTGGGACGACGGGCAGGTGCCTTCTGCTTGGGACGGACAGGCGCTACTTTTGGGCTTCTTCTGTTTAACAGATAGTTGATGTAGAGATCGACATCGCGAGCGTACATCGCATGCGCAGAGCCATCTGCACGTTCGACATCGGCACGGGAAACAAGATCCTGCGAAGCGCGTGAAAAGCCAGATGCCCTGGGTATGACACCCAGCAATACCGCAGCTAAAATAGGCAAATGCTTTGATAAACCCATGATAGAGACCATTATGAGCACGTGGGCGATCCTTTATAATGATGAAGAAGGAGGGCAAGGAGGAAGAGAGGAGAGGACAGCTCCGAAGGCAAATTGTAGATAATGAGGTACAAAGTGTAAAGAAAGCAGCACTGAAACTCCAAGCTTATGATGCTTTCTTTCTTGCTGTGTGTAGGATGATGGTGAAGGAAAGAAGAACAGTGAATTTTATCTTCGGAAGCCTCGATTTTTATAATTCTCTGCTGCGGTTCCCTTTTTACTGCTGTAGTCTAATATCCCATCCAAATCTACACCCTTGCTTAGCTTTGGCCATATTGTAAAGGCAATCACCAACAACCATCCATGGCCCCATGACTTGCCTCTATTTATAAATAGGAAGAACATGAAGTAAGGACGCAGGGTAATTTTGTTACTAATAGACCCCGGCTAGCCTTATGCTTGGTGTGCAATATTATTCCCTGAACATGGTCAACGGTTTGGTCCAACAACCAACATACATGAACCCCCATCTAACTCTACCAATAGCATCCGTCAGTTTTCCCTCTTTCCACAAATGAGAAAGAAAGAAGGCAAGGAAACGAAATTATGTTCTAAGTTGTGTTAAAAATAGAGAAGGACCTCCTCTTGTTGGCGGCAGTGAGCCTCTTCGTATTTCATCTAGTTCTAACTTTGGACAGGAGATGGGAAGCTAATGGAAGGTTTTCAACACTGGATCATGTAGTAGTATGCATCCATTTGGCTCTATCAACCCGCCATGATACAAAGTGTCACGTACAATTGCAGCAGGGCCGTGGTCCACGATCATCTGCTCCAGCCTCCTCCGCCCACCCAGATAGTATCTCAGGTCTGACCCTGTGTAAAGGCAAGTTTTTCTGCATTGGTTGTAGGCACTCAGGGAACTGTGGGGCAAGTATAAGCAGGGGTTTAGTTGGTGGTCTGATGATAAAAATGCCTCGTGTTTGGCGGCCTAGCCAACCCAGTTGAGCGACCAACACCCAATGTTTCCCTTCGCCTGCTCTCAGTCTCTCCATAGTCTCCCCCAACTCGATTCCCAGCCCAACACCAGTCTAGGTTCACACGTCGCCAAAGAGCACGCTGGAGAGAAACGGATCAGAGGAAGATTTAGAAAAAGACAGCACGCAATGGCGCGACAAGAACGATGTGGTCTCTTGACCCTGCCGCCGGAGATCCAAACGAAAATCCTTTCCCACCTCGCTGTGTCTTTCGGCAAGTCAAGCATACATGCGGCCCTAAAATCTTGCAAGCAGCTATATGAGATAGCACTTCCACTCACCGTGAAGGTCTTTCGAAACACTGTCCCGTACCCTGGAACTCATGGACCATGTTCTCGGGCTCGCAATATACAATTTCTACGCTATATTCTCATTTTCAAGCCGTGGTTGGCCGAGCACGTGGAGACTGTGATTCTTGGCAGGTTCTCGACTGATCATGGAGGAGGCGCAGATGGCGAGGAGACGGCCCAAGGCCAGGAAAGCATTGATCGTGAGGAGCTCGCCATCTATCAGCGGTATATCCAGCTCAGATTAGGTCAACTGCCATCAGGCGACACTGCTTCATGGTGTGATTCTTGGGTAGAGGACCTTGGGAATCGCACTTCTGATGCTCAGGTTGCCTTGATTCTGCTTGCCTGCCCCAACATCCGGACTCTATACTTTGAAGTGTCTGATTCCAACCATTTCATTCGATTGCTAAGAATGGTTCGAGATATATCGAATCGAAATGACCAACCCGGAGACCCTGGATCTGGTCGGGATGGTGGCCATTGTCCGAAGATGAGCGTGCCCCTCTGCAATCTCCAAGAGGTCTTTCATGAACAGGGAGACTTTAGAGAACGCCAGCAGGACTTCCACATGGAAGCATCAGAGCTCTTTGCATTACCTCGACTCCGGGTTTACGAAGCTCTCGGGGTTCAGGGGACGCAGAGTGCAGTTGCAAGCTTCGAAAGCCTACCGCTTAGAGCTTCTCCAATTGAAGAGATATCTCTGACTAATTCCTTTTGCACTTGGCCTATCTTCCATATACTGGGCAGCTGCAAGGGGCTCAAGAAATTCGAATACAGTTATTATAGCCCTCCTTGGCTTGACGCTCCTAGTTTATTGATGCCTGCGGATATCATGGATGTCGTCTGGTTTCATCGTCATACACTTGAATACCTATACTTGAATCTACATGAGGACTCGGATCATCGTTGGGATCCCGATGAGTCTGAGTACGAGAGGCTATATCTAGGGATGAGGTTTCGTCAGATGCGTTCCTTGAAAACGCTTATAGTAGGTATGCAGGCCCTGACCGGAATGCTTGCCTCCAAGCCTCGTTATCACCATAATATGCCCCTCAAGGTCGAAGGTGCACCCAGGATGGTTGATTGCCTCCCTGACAACCTTGAGCGTATTACGATTCATTCTTGTGGCGAAGCAATACTAGACCAGCTGCAGGAGTTGGTCAAGAGTGCTTGCCAGGGTCGCCTCAAAAAGCTCAACTATATTTGCGTGCTATATGATTATTGGAGGGTAAACAATGAGGAGATTTTGGAATATCATCAAAAATTCCCAGAGTTCAGGAGGGAGCCAGAGGGGCGGTCTGTTATCACAGTTGTCGGGTTGCAGCTTCAAGAGGCAAACATTCACGACTCGTACGGGACCTTTCCCCTCGCTCCCGAAGGGTTGACCAATTTCATGTCCAAGATTTATGCTCCCCATCTTCGGCGACAACACCTGGAGCGCAGAATGAATCATGAGTATTGGAATGCTGAATACAACTATGAGGACGACCCTACCTTGTTTGATGAATATGCATAAGGAGATAGCCTAGTTTCTCTTCTTAAATGAAATTTTCTTGATAAGGAAAGGACGTTGGATACTGAATATTTCAGAGTTTCTCGGCTGATAAATTACCACCGGACCCCTGGGCCTAACACGGGCTCACTCAATTCAGCATAGCACCAAATCCCCAGCCAGTCCGGTAATACTTTGTACAAGGTAGTTTCTAATGAAACTAATGTAACGACGGATCGGCCAGGATAGTTCATGTCCACGAAGGCTTGTACTGATTTCTCATCGTAATAATAGGCTTGCATTTAGAGCTGGGGGGTTGGACGGTTTTATAGACCGCCACAACCCATCCCCGAGTCATCTCTTACATGATTATGAGTACAATATGCTAGACTTATATCAACTGTGTTGCAATTTACGGTGAAGTCCAAGTGTCGAGCACCCCCCGTAAGTTGCAACCCATTTTACCTCAGACCCGGCCTCCCTTCCCTAGCACGCGTCTTCTTCTCGAAAAAGGAACCACAAACTGCAGCTATAAACAATGAGTCACGATCTGATGTGCCCATATGACGAGAATGCGAATTATGCTGTACTGCACCAGGATGTAGACCACCTCAGAATAAGTTGCCACCCTAGTTAACTAAATACCCCCCTTAATTAAATACCTAGATAAAAATTATAATAGATTTAAAAATTAATATAATAATATTAATTTAATAGATTTTAATATAGAAAGCTATTTAATTTATTATTAGAAGTAGAGCTCTTTAAATATATAATTTTCTAATTCCTTTAATACTTTTATTTTATTTAGGATTATATTATATTATACTATTTATTTAGCTGGCTATTTAATTATTAAGAACTTATTATTTAAGTTTAAAAGTAATTTAGCTTATTTTTTTTAGCTTAAATATTTTATTTTACCTTTCTAATTATATAATTTTTATTATATAAAGTAATATCTTTATTTATTATTTATTAAGACCTTTATAAATCTTCTAAAATAATAATTTTATTAATAAATTAATAACTTTATTATTAATAAAACTATAAATAATCTTTTAAATTTAATAATTATTTTTAAGTATTAAAATATCTTCTTTATAATAATCTTTATACTTTATTTTAACCTTTAAAGAAGTTAATAAAAGTAAGAGTACTTAAAAAGATTCTATTAATAGCTTTATTATATATATATTTATTAAGAGTTTAACTATATTAATAAGTTATAAGCTAGATCCCTTTTAGCTTAAGTAAAAATATTAATATATTAAATAGCTATAATATATATAATAAATATAAAAGTAAGAAAAGAAGAAATATATTATTTTAAAAATATTTAATTATAAATTTATTAATTATATAACTTTTATAGCTATTAAGGATAAATAGCTTAAGCCTCTTTATCTTAAGTTTTATTAATAAGATAAAGATAAAGTTTAATTATATAAGAGTAATCTTATTATTAATTTAACTTATTATAGAAGTTATAAAAAATTACTCTTTATATAGCTTAAGTTTAAGAGGAAACTATTATTATTAAACTTACTTCTCTTAAAAGATATAAAGAGGAGGAAGAGCTTAACTTAAAGTATTAATTCCTTTAATAATAATTATTAAATTCTATAATCTTAATTACTTTAAAAGGGTATATTACTTTCTTAATAATCTAAGTATTAGTTTATTACCTTTAACTCCCTCTATAATATTAAATTTATTTATATTTTAATAATCTCTTAAAGAGATATATTTAATAATTAAATAGCTTATTAATATAAAGAAATCCTTTATCTAATTAATTATAGCTTTATTAATATAAAGGAGGTTAATTTACTTACTGTTGGTTCAATATCGGGTTATGAGGCGCGCGCTGCCACAGTCACCTGACGGTGCACGTGATCCCGCGCGCATTCATAACCAATGCGTAGGTTAGCTAGCTAGAGATTGAAGAGATCATCCCTAATTACTCGTATCATTGAACCCCCGTATCTTAAGCTTGAAGGCACAGCCCGGCTATGAGATCTAGGCTCGCACGAGCAGGTGAATCACCGAGAAAAACCAACACTTACCTTATAAAGTCTTAATATTTAAGTTTTATTTTAAAAAGCTCTTTAGCTAATACTTTTTAAGTTATAGTAAGGGGTTTAATAAAAATAATAATATTATAGTTATTATAATAACCTAATTATATAATAAAGTATTATCAATAATATTTTAAATAAATATCTATTTAGTTAATTTAATCTCTTACTTTATTAAGAGGTATTAATAAGCTATTATAATAACTTTATATAGTTTACTACTCTTAATATAATTATATAAGGTAGTTAATAGAATTCCTTAAAGCTTTATAGCCTTTTATAGGTTTAAGCTCTCTTTATTAACTAAAATCACCTATTAAAATATATCTTTTAAGTAGTTTTATATTATAATTTTAATAATATATAAATTAATTAAATTAGATAAAAATTAGTAAAGTTATTATATAAATTAAATAAGGGTGATATAAATATAGATAGTGAAAAAAGTATTTAGTTAAGGGGGGTGTTCAGTTGACTAGGGTGGCAACTTACTGGTCGAGAGGAAGCCTAATGTCAACGAGCGCCGCTGAACACGAACCATTTAGAACCCCTTCCAAAAGGCATTAGAGAAGCGCTACAAATCTGCGGTTAATGCCCTGATGGAACAAGGGCAAGACAGGAAGTCGCGGCGAGGAAGGGGGCGCATTCTTCTTCTTGATTCGGGGTGGAGGAGCTGGCTACGGCAAATCACAATAGGATCGATCTTATTTCTCCTGACTACCCAGGATTTGTGTAATTCACATCACGAGGAGCCTCTAATCTCTCTATCCAGCATGCCAGCTACAAGACAGAGCCCCAGGCCAATACGATGGACTATCTCAAACACCTGGAACCCCTTGAAGGTTTCAGCCCAGATCCTGATCGTTGAGGCAGCAAGCCGCCGGATACCTACGCCGTCATACTGCATGTTCTCGATGGCGTCGGCCAATTCCGTCTCGAGAACAAGACTCACAGCCATATCCAGAAGCTTGCGCTCGTCGGACCGGAGCGACTCGGGCCCTGACACTTCGACGCTTTGAGCAATTGAGCGCAGCCAGTGTGTGAGCAGGAGGGCACATTCGAGATTCGACAACGCGTGCTGGATACTCCAACTGAACGTTTGCGTCCGCGCAACGAAAGCGACCCCAACCCGCACAGGCACACTGAGGGCATGAATGCATTGCAGCACCGCGCGATCCAGGTGCGGCGACCTGTTGCCGATCTGAATCTGGCCCTCGGCGAATGCGCTCGCAATCTCTTCCGGGTTTCTGGTGATGAGTTGGCGTTTGGGCCCAGTGTTGACATTGATGCGGATGTAGACGAGGCGGAGAACGGCGGTCGAGTTGAACCCGATGGGGCCCTTGGGGGAGGAAGGATCCAGGGTTGAATCGTAGCTTGCTTCCCACGATTCCTGCCAAGAGCGCAAGGCTACCTCGATGCGCCTGATGAAGTCCTGGTCGAGCGTGTTTGGGGTTGAAGTGTTGGCGTTGCGGGCGAAGAAGATTTGCTGGAAAAGAGCATGGATCATGATGTAGTTCCCAAAGGCCGAGAACCGGCCCTGGACCTTCCCTGAGTACAACTCTTGTAGAGCTAACTGGAAGGATTTGTTTCCTGGGTGAGCAGATAAGTGAACAGTACTAGCCCATTCTTTGGCGGAGGCTGCTCGCCAGATTGTAGCACAGCACGGCAGATTGATGGCAACATCTTGGTTGAGAAGCAGTGGAGGGACATTGAAAGCCATGCACTGGAGGTTCAAGACAATATATGCCACGAAGAGAGTCCTACGGCGTTCTTCTACCTGCATCCACACATCCCAGGAAGTATCCCAGTCAGGCTCATCTTCTGGCTGGCCGATACCTACTTCTCGGACAACCATGGCAACCTGGCTTGCTAAAGAGAGCGCATCGCGCATCAGTCCACGATCACTCCATGACGTCAAAGACATCAAAACAATGAAGCTCTGGAGAAGACGAAGGCTGCTAAAGCCACTCTGGCCGTCTATGGCCTTCGGCGGGAGCTTCTTTCGTGGGCTAGTAACCAGCGAGGGTTGACCGTCAGGCAAACTCGAGGCGAAGCCGGCATATCCAGCCTCAGGAGCGTCCGAAAGATTGGCCGTGGCCTCTTCATTCCACTCATCGAACCGTTTGTTCACTATTGCCTTGGCGACACGATAGAGCTCATAGCCCTTGGCGTGCTCAAATCGGTAGAGCGCACCCACAGCCGCTATAGAAATGACGAGTTCGATGCCAAGAGATGTTGTAGAGCTCGTGGTGTGGAGGAACGGGAGATGATCATGGTAGCCACGGAAATAGCCCTCGAGGTAGCGAGACAGTGTAGGTCGTGAAGGACACTGGAAGCTGGGCGGCAGGAGCTCGCTGAACGCAGACAGGTCGCGAGACAACTGTTGGTAGTCTTGACAAGAAATCCTCCACGGGCAGGTGTAAGGTCTATTATGTTCGACGGCCGAGAGAGGCCGATAGCTCGTGACAGGAGCAACGGAGTCTGGATCGGCGGGCTTTATCTCAGGCTCAAGCGAAGGGAAACGCATAGCGAGTGCGCTCGGGTCTCTTGAGGTGATGGAAGCGGGAGCAGAGAGGAACGGAATCGTGTCGGGTGCAGGATAGATGACGGGACGGGGATTCGGAGCTGGTCCCTCGATGGGAGCTCGTTGGGTCTGGGAGGCAGCGGCATACTGGTGGGAGATGTCGACGAGAGACTGGTCGGTATCGAAAAAGTCCAAGGGGAGTGGTTGATCGCCAGGTGTGAAGTCGTCGTTCCAGAGGAAGGCGAACTCGTCATGCCCGATGCTGTCGATGAAGGACGTGGGTTCTACCATCGAGGTTTCGGTCGGTGCCGCCAATTGAGCGATCGGCTGGCTCATTAACAGCTGGGGATGGGTTTCTTGGTCATCGAGCCCTCCGACGCCGAGACTCTTGCGATGTACAGGCGACGACGCATCGTCAG